ATAATTAAGAGCGAACGAATTAAAACTAAAATCACATTATAGAATCAAAAAATATAATTTTCTTAATTATTTATTTAAAAAATAATATTAAAATAATAATAATAATAAATGTCGTATATGGTGTATATTTGTGTGTGTGACCTGTTCGATGTTTAAAATTTTGTTAGAATTTCGTGTTAATCAGCTTGGCGAATTATTGGCAAAAGCAAAGCAAGATGCGACACGGCATATCGGTGGCTTTTGGTATTGAAAAGTGGTTCAACAGCGTTTGCGAACTGGGACCTTTATTTAAACTTGCGTCTTAGCCTGCACTCAGGCCCAAAAGTTGAGATTCAAGAAACAACTGCGTAGATGGTCAGTTACAAAAATGTGTTTCGTATTGCCACACACTTTCACTTGAGTGGATAATATTGCTCAACTGCCATTCTATTCTTTTGTCTGCTTTTGGCATTCAACGGAAATAGAAAGTGTTGCCTGCTTTTCATATTGACAAACTTATGCCAACACGTTAATTATTTTCTAATGCTCCGTTTTCACTTGGCGCGCATGCAAATTAGCAAAAGAAACCGCATGCAATAATATGGAAATGTAAAATGACTTTTTAAATGGATACGCGTGGAACTCGAATTCGCAATTTATGAAGGCGGATCGCGAATTTGAACCATGCCCATAATAGTCATATTAAATCTGTTGGCCAAAGCCTTCTAGTATCACTAGCACTCACTATGTAACTAACGAATTGACCGCAAATATTGGCGTGTCCATTGTAGTTATCTGGTGACCGAGCAGCGAGACGAAAGTTCATTGACCAGCTCTTAGCCCAGCCACGAGCCCGAATGTCCGCGTTCGAGCTCGGACTCAAGACTTGTGTGTGTTTGTGTGTTTACCGGCCAATGTCCGGAAATTTGCGTAATTTGCAATTGCTAGCTAAATAAATGGCCATATTTAGACGCCTTTATATTTCATAAGACCTCGTCATTATCAACATTATTATTATTGTTATTATTATTGCTGTCAGCGGTTGCGCAACCGACTCGAAACACCGCCCGGCGCTTAACTATTGAAAATGCCACACAATCAGTTGCATTGATTTCCCAAAGACTTGAATTATAGACCATGCAGACAATGAACAACAAAGGGAAAATCGTTGGCTCACATTGTTGTTATTGTTGTCAAAGCTGCTTCACCATTTCTTATTCAAATTGTAAGCCAAGAAAAAGCCTCACGCGCTCCACTCGTCATAAAAAAAATGCCGAAACACACAAAATCAGCTTCGTCGCCGCCATCGACGAGTGTGGTTTAGATTTAAGTGTGTTGTTGTTGTCACTTCTGTGGGCTTTCCGGCTTGGTTGTTTTTTATTACGTCACGACTCCGCAATACATTTGACAAATTTATTTTTATTAAAGGCAATTTCTTTGAAAGCGTAGACATGAATTGAATTTCGCTTGATTGAGATATTTTTTTTTTTAAATTGCCTGCCCTGTTGCCGACTATTGTTAGTGCTCTTAGGGGGGCTTTCGGAAATGTTAAAAGAAATAAGTGATTTTTTATTGTCCAGTATGAAAATAATAATATCTACAATCATAATCATCCCTACATATAAAACTGTTTGTCCTGATTGACTGACTGACTGATTGGTGACCAACGCAGAGTCCAAGCTCGACGGGGCTTTAGGTAAGTCGTAAAAGACGTTTGTATGAATTATTTTTGCTTAACATCCAATCGGCCTCAAACTTATTTTAAATAATCTTTGATTAAATTAACTCCTTGGTGGAAATGGGGTCAAAGATTTTGTGGCTGATTTTTCGGGTTCAAGTGCATTTCTAGAATGTTTATGAAAAAGCATTTGACATGTTCCAAAGATTTTTGTGGGAAGTTTAAGTATTGTTCGATTTGTTTCAAACTTATAATCAAAGCCTTATATAATAACTTAATAACTACATGTTTCAGCGATTTTGGAAATGCCACCAACACATATGCCTGAAGTTTAAAGGAAAAGACTTGGGTCTAATAACTTATCTTCCTGAACAGATATTTATATCCATAAATTCGCTAAAAGTCAAGAACCTTTTAATTGTTATGAAGCACTAAATAGTATTTTTATTTGTTTGATTTTGGGGGATAGGGAAACTTATCTTAGAAATATGATATGAGATGCTAAGTATCAAATTTAGCTTTGAAACCTAAGAGATATGCTAAAAACCTGGATTTCGATATCCCTCTTATCGATTTTTATCGACCTACGTTCAATTGTAGCTCTTATAGGTTTTCAGATCAAACAGAAAGGTTTTTGATGGAGACTAAGAATACATCTACATAATAGGGTCGAAAATCCCTTCTTCTGCCTGTTACATACATTTGCACAACATAATTATACCCCTTTTACTCATCATATACCCTGAACCCATTGAAAATGGGTAAAATAGTCCCGAATATAACCTCTTACTTGTTTTCAATTCGTTCAGGGTATACAAAAAATACTGTAAAACAGACTTTTAATGAGTAAAAACATGCTTACTTGTATCCACAAAAAAGGAATTCCCTAAATTTATGACATATGTATACATTTTCTAGAAAATTAAATTTGACGTTAATATTTGAAACTGATTAAAATCTTAAATGTGTTAAAAAGACCTACTAAAAATAGAACCAGCTAAAAATTTAATATGATTTTAATTTTTCATATGAACTCCTAGTTGAACACCTTTCGTTAGTTATTTGCCATTTATTTACAAAATACACAATAACAGCTTTTGCAAATATTTTAAAATTTCGCTTTCGTCAAAACGAAAACGGCAACAGCAACAGAAGAAATAAGAATGCTACAGTCGGGAGTGCCCGACTACGAGATAACCTATTCGCAAAAATAAAAAGAAAACCAAGTGTAAAAATCGATACTTATCGTTTTTGGTGCAACGGGATAAGATGTCAATTATTTGGAAAAAAAACTTGATCTCCGCTTTTAATAGGAGGCCCTACGTTCCACATGTGATCCCTAGCTCTTATAATCACTGCGATCGGACAGACAGTCTTACTGAAATGGGGAGATCGAGTGGGAAATTGAATATGATCAGGGATACGTTCATGCTTTGAGGGGTCTGTGGAGCCTCCCTCTGCCTAATACGTACGTTGTCATAAATCATAATACCCCTTTTGTAGCCATTTTTAATAGCTACAGGGCATGAAAAACAGCACAGGGAACAGAAAACCGAATAGAGCTGATTAATGCAAAACGTGGCAGTTGGCACAACTTGTCACAGATTCCATTAGGTCATCGCCGCATTTGCATATGTTCGCAGAATCAAAATGTATATGCCATGCGTTGTCTCAGCAATGAATACGCATGTAGAAAATATACTCAGAGATTTGGACTGCGATCTGGGAACTGGGAACTGGTATCAGCTGTTGAGCCGCTCAGTGGTGTGGGAAAAGTAAAGAAAGTGGCGCAGGTGGCGCAGGTGGCGCAGCTGCCCAGCAGCAACTTTCCTTGGCAGAACTGTTTGCGAAGACGCAGGAAAATTGGCAGTCATTTGTAAACAATGTGCGAAGCTGGGTGCGACGGCATGGGGGCGCGGCCAAGTATACACAGCCCGTATATCTATTGACTTCTCAGCGTGGTCAGAAATAAAAAATACGCGCCGCGTGACCCACTTTCAAGTTGTGTTTTTGTCTGCTTCTTTTTTGTGCTGTTGCCGTTTGTTCCAAGTAACACGCTCCTCGTATATGTATGTATATATACAACTATATATATATATATATATATACATATATATATGTACATATCTATGTCTCGGACTGACTGTGCTTGAGTTTCTTTCTAAGCACCAACAAGTTTTTAGGCAAATTAGCAGCCAACAGCTGCACAAGTTATCGGCGTCTCTCATTGAAAGTTGATTAACCACTTACCAACTACTTGTAGCCACAAAATTTTGCGAATTCGAAAAAAAAATGTTCTTATAAGCATCTTTTTTTTGTTAAAACATAAACAAGCTACAGTAAGCTATGATAAAAGCTTATAGATCAACAAGCTTCAGATTTACCCATATACCACATATACCCATATATCAAAGTGGGTCAAGTATTTGGTAGTTTTGTCGATCTACTTATTTATTTCTACCTATTGTACTCATGTATTGTTATAGCTGGCAAAATTGAATTTGAATTTAATTGCTAATAAAATGTGCTAATGTATGTGTATGTGTCTGTGGCTAGCTTGAAAGTCATTTTATGTTGAAAATGACTCTTTAATTAACATTTGCTGTCTTCCGCATCAAGTGCCAAAGTCCAAAATGTTGCATAAACTCACAGGGAAATAGCATAGGATACTGTCCTAACAAATACCCTGTTCATAATACTACTTGTGAGATCTGAAAACAGCGGGAATTGCATGCCACCGTACTAATAAAGGTATATACCCGCTTTTAAGCATAATGCCCGAACTCAGGTGTTCTTGTCTGCTTGCCATGCTGCTGGCTGGTTGTTTATGCTACGGCATTGTATTGACTCAGCAGCATTTGAGGCAGCAACAATGTTGCAGCAGACGTGGTCTAACTGCACTTTGTTGCCATTACTTAAGCAATTGACTTTGTTGGCAATGCTAACGGATGTTGGCTCAGCTGCTTGTGGCAGTCATTTGTCCTTTGGCCAGTCACTGCACATTTGAAGTATAGAGACAGAGAGACAGAGAGAGAGAGAGAGAGAGAGAGAGAAAGAGAGAGAAAAAGAGAGAGAGTGAGCGATCGATGGAAAATGACGGAGACAGTACTCGCACATATGCACACGTAAGAAAAAGTGCATTAAACAGCCCTGTAATAGACCCTGTTTCCATATTCGCATGTAGTAATTCGTAGATAAGGGCTAATTGCTGACGTACTATGACGTAACTGACCAAACTCTTTGGAAAGTAGATCAAAGGCCCAGCCATTGCATGTTCCCATTTGTAAGCCTCTCAATCAGCCATGCTTAAAACCTTCATTCTTTTTTGTTGTATGCATTGCAGCTTACAGACGAAGTTGTGCGAAAGAAAAGCGAATACCAAAAACATTTGGAAGGTTACAAGGCGCTGCGCACGCGCTTTGAAGAGCACTACATAAAAGGTGAGTGCCCCCCTGGCGTTGTATGCACTGGCAAGGGTGTTAGTATTCGAGCAATTTATTTTTACAGCACCAGGCCGAAGCGGTCGCAAGCTGGATGACGTGCGGGACAAATATCAAAAAGCCTGCCGTAAATTACATCTTACACACAATGAGTACGTGCTGTCCATCACGGAGGCCATAGAAGTGGAAAAGGACTTTCGCACAGTGCTGCTGCCGGGTCTGCTAGAACATCAGCAGTCAGTGCAGGAGAGCTTTATACTCTTATGGCGCAACATACTTTTGGAAGCGGCACAGCATGGCGATTTGACAGCAGACAAATTCAAAGAGATACAAAAACGCATCGACACTGTGATAAGCAGCATAAATCCGACGGAGGAGTATGGCGAATTTACAGAGAAACACAAGTAAGTATTATGCTGAATCTCAGCGTGTATACCCCGAGCTTACCCTGTGGAACATATAAAATAAATTCTCTCTAAGATCTTCAAAAATGAGTTTGAAACCGATCAGACGATAAGCCAATTTACCACAAGCAGTCATTAAGTTCTTATGTTAAGCTTTGAAAATAAGTTTGAATCAAATCGGACAAAACTTAAAACCTCCCCAAAAAATTCTTAGAATCGCATTTTTACTGAGGATACTTTGATTTTGCGGAAAATGTGAAACACGTCTCAAAGAATTTTCAAATAGATCCTTGCATATGAATTTGAGCGCCAAACGTCACCACCAAATCTTTGACCCCCATTTCCACGAAGACAAACGTTTTCGCGATTTTACCACACTCGCGGGTGGAATTTTCCGAAACCCCGTCTAACGTGCACCTTCATAAGGTAACTACACTGAAAATATCAGCTTCCTAGCTCTTACGGCTTGGGCTCTGTGTTGATCACCAATCAGTCAGTCAGTGAGGACCTTGCACCTTCCTGGTAGAGGGTCAGTTAAATTAAACTTGTAAGCTAAATGTAATTAGACACGTGAAGTTGTAAGCCAGCCCGAGTAAATTTTGTTTTTGCCCCGAGCAAGGTCATCTATAACTAATATATTATTCTTACTCGCAGAACCTCACCCACAACGCCCTTGCTCTTCCAATTTGATGAAACACTCATTGAGGATATACCTGGCAAGCTAACAGCAAGCACCCTGACCGTGGACAATCTAACGGTTGATTGGCTTCGTACACGCCTGGTGGAGCTGGAGTCGGCAGTGAAAGAGTGTCAGGAGAGACAGCTGAAGATGATTGAGCATGTAAATGGCGGCTCGCCGGTTGCCAATGGCAGCGTCATATCCAACGGCAGCAGCGCATCCAACGGCATACAGTCGAACAAAGATAGTCAGAAGTACGTAGCCAACAATATCAGGTCGCCAAAGATTTTAATCCAACCGTTTATTACACATTTGCAGTCGCCAGTCAAAGGACCTCAATGCGCTGCGCTGCCAAGAGAAGCAAAAACAAAAACTGGTTGATATGATCAAGTGCGCATTGAACGAGGTGGGCTGCGAGGAGCTGCCGTCCGGCTGCGATGATCATCTGTCGCTAGAGCAGAACTTTATCGAACACGGCTTTAACAATGATCAGCAGGTAGGTTTTATTTCCTGTTAGTAGTCCTACATTAACATGGGCGATGGTTAGCTTTAAGTCGTAGTGGTTTGGGTCAGCATCAATGATCGACTAATCGTATGACATATGAAACTATTTCTATCCCTCTGGATGCTGCCTTCTGCCACACATCCATACACACACATATACACACAATTATCGCAATCCACTATTGTAACCCATACTGATGAATATGCGCCGCTGCAACAGCGATCCAATTCCACTAACTCTCCAGGCCTGGGTATAATGAACGAGTTGATGCGGCGTGGTGGCGTTCTCACGCTACTGCGAGGACGAGGTCGCCATTTCAAGCGCAAGTCAACTCCACAGCCAACTACGCCCATGGCAAGAGCGCGCCAAGGTAGATTCTCGAAGCTGCAGCCTCGCTCACAAAGCCTGGGATCGCTGTCGGTAATTACAGATGCGCGTAGTCCTGCACGTTACGAGCCAGTTACTAACCCACTGCGTCTGGCGGTCAGCGTACACTATCTCGGTGAGGAGATTGTGTTGAGCGCGACACCGCCGGCGCTGCCTCGTTTACGGCGCACGCAATGTTCCATGTTGTGTTTGGGCGAGGACGACCAGCCGCTTGAGCCGTTGCCAGTGGCCTCGATCGAGCCCACGCCCTTAAACAAATTAACCAATTCAGCCATTACTAACACTAACAACAACCACATCTATGCGGACCTGGAATTGGACAACAAACCCCCAATCGCTCTAGTCGATGCGGATGCAGACAGCATTGTCAGCGAAAATGATTTGGCAGTAAAGCGTCATCAAATTGAGATTGAAATCAATCAGGTTGAATCAAACGAATCACAGGCAGTGCCACAAGGCTCTATCGATGCGCACCTGGACCAGATTGACGAGCTGAATCGCGTACTGGACGATCGCTTAAAGCGTAGTATGCAGCCCACAATCCCAGGGGATGTAAATGCTATTGAGAGCGCCGATGATATACCTGTTCAATCACGCCAGGATGACCCGGATACCGGTAGCCAGGCCAAGCGCAGCTCCAGTTCTAGCCGATCCTCGCAGCTAAGCTCCAAAGAGAGTGGTCAATCCAAAAAACGCTCAGTGTCCTTCACGCAAAAGTCCATTAGTAACATAATAAGCAACATTAGGGAGTTCTCCAAAAGCCCACTAGCACGCATGACCAAAAATGCGGCTCTAAACGAGAAGCCAGATACTTCAAGGCATCCAAGAGAGCCGAGCCAACTTTCTAATAGCAGTGAATCTCACACTCAACTCAGTAATAGTAACAGTATTCACAACAATAACAACAACAATCATAATCCCTGCCAATCGACAATTATCACCAGCACCATAACAACGACCATAACAACCACATCGACAACGACGCCGGCCAAGGAAACATCAAGACTGAAATTTAAAGTGCCAAAAATACAAAAGAAATCGAAAGCCATACGAAACACATTCCGTACCAAACTGCTCAGCTTTCAGATGAGGCGCTCCAAGCCCTGCAAGCAATGTACCAAGCGCCGACGCATTCATCCCAGCAAAAGCGTCTTTGACTTTGCCAAGGAGTTCGAGACAAATCCTCTAGAGCAGGCCGGGCTGGAGCAATTCTGTAGCTGTCCACCACCGGCGCAAAAAACAAAAGCAAAAGCCAAGCGAATGTCCTGCCAAAATGAGCGATCTTTTGAAGTGCACAGTTCCGAGGAACTGGACGATGAAGAGGAGGACGCCATCGACGACAGCAGCAGCGACGATGTACTCAGCATAAAGGAGCATTGCTATTGTGTGCCCAGCTTGGCGGCGAGTGTGAGTAGCGAGCCAAGGTCGAGATCAACATCCAGGCCAAGCCTCCAACAGTATCTTAATAAGCACTGTCGCTAGAGAGCGACACTCCACATCGCCTGATCTATTCGTAGTCGCAGCCTGCATGTTGATTGATTTGCATGTTCAATTTTCTGTTCAACTTTCGCTTTCAATATTGAATGCGTAGAAAAAGCTTGACAAAATATATCGAAAATAAAGCACAGTGCGCACTCTAACCATTTATTATTTTGAGCACGCGAACGCTAATGCGAGCGAGGACCGCTTATAAAGTACAGATGTATATAAAAAAAATTCGAAAAACACAAAACAAGTAACCTTAATTAATTAAAATTTAAGAGAAAAAACAACTATTTTTTAAAGATTTTGCATATTTTAAATATTCAATATTATCGTACCTTCTTCCTTTTTAAGACTAAAGTAAAGACTTCTTAAACACAAAATGTTTAACAAAACCCAAATTTGGGCAGAACAAATAAATCTTTCTACTAAAATTTTTGTTAACTTGACGAAAGACCCTTGAATATACTGCTAAATATACTTGTGCGTATCAAGAGAGGAACACGTTTAAGAGTTAAGAGCATGGACGCAGTACAAATATTTGAATCAGTTTTCTCAGATCTCGCGTGCAGCCAAGACGTTTTATCTGTTAAGAATATACCTAAATACATATATATGTATGTATTTGGTACATAGGTGGAAATGTTTGGCGTCTGCTTGGCCAGAGAAAAGTTGGAAATAATTTTCTTCTAATATAAATAGAGTGCGCGCGTGTTTTGCCTTGGTATCAAGAGTATTGCGCAAATAGTTGAGCTTGGGCCCTCATCATGAGTAGCACCGCTTCCGGCGAAAGCCACAGCTGTAGTGGCAGTGCCAATGGCACTGCAGATAGTGCAATCTTTGAGCCTATGGTTTTTGCCGGTCGCCCGGTGCCGCCGGTGCGCAGGAATCGACCTAAATCGAAAATGTTTGTGAGTAACTCAAAGGCCTTGAACGTAAACATGTCATTTTGTTATGGACGTAGTAACCATTTTTAATTTTTATGCATCAGACTGTAATTAATTTGTATTTTTTTCGTATATATATTTGTTTGAATAATGCTTTTTTGGCATTTAATGCCTCTGCACACTCGTCAGAGATATTTCTACCCACACACTTCCGTTTGGGCAGTGAAAATGGAAATGGAAATGGCGTGCTAAATATCTTATTTGTGCTTTGCATGTTTGACTAACCTGAGAATAGATATATTTCTAAAATGAATTTAACTAATCATTGCTAACACACTGCTTACAGCTCTCGCTATCTACGAATCGACCACTATATGAGGAGGAGTGGTTCCATGGCGTCCTTCCTCGCGAGGAGGTCGTCCGTTTGCTAAACAACGATGGTGACTTCCTGGTGCGCGAAACCATACGCAACGAGGAGAGCCAAATTGTATTGAGCGTCTGCTGGAATGGCCACAAGCATTTCATAGTGCAGACGACTGGAGATGGACACTTTCGGTTCGAGGGCCCGCCCTTTCCCAGCATACAAGAGCTGATCATGCATCAGTATCATTCAGAGTTGCCGGTAACTGTTAAATCAGGCGCGATTTTGCGACGACCCGTGTGTCGTGAGCGCTGGGAGCTAAGCAACGATGATGTGGTACTCCTGGAAAAGATCGGCAGGGTATATCCACATTTATCTATTGACCTGAAATTGGAGCTTATTAAAATGTAATTTGTTTAGGGAAATTTTGGAGATGTCTACAAGGCCAAGTTAAAATCTACGAAACAGGATGTGGCTGTTAAAACCTGCCGCATGACCTTACCCGACGAACAAAAACGCAAGTTCTTGCAGGAAGGTCGCATCCTGAAACAATATGATCATCCAAATATTGTCAAGCTCATTGGTATTTGCGTGCAAAAACAGCCTATTATGATTGTCATGGAATTGGTGCCTGGTAAGTAAATATGCATACCCAAATATAATCAAGTAATTCGTTTATGAAATCCCATTTTAAAACTGTTGAAAATACATAGAAAGGGTTTATATGTGGGATGCCAAAGGTTAAATACTTTTTTTTATATTGATTAAAATTATGTATTATTAGATCTAACGATATTTGAAACATCACTTTTTAGGTGGCTCCTTGTTAAACTATCTGCGCAAAAACTCAAATGCTTTGTCCACACGCCAACAGATGGGAATGTGTAGAGATGCGGCTGCAGGTAAGGCTTACATCTACCTAGTTGTTACTTGGTCTAACCGGGACATCGATTTAAGGCATGCGATATCTCGAATCCAAGAACTGCATACATCGCGACCTGGCAGCTCGAAATTGTCTTGTGGACTTCGAGCATAGCGTAAAAATATCCGATTTTGGTATGTCGCGTGAAGAAGAAGAATACATAGGTGCGTACAACAACTGTCCTAAACTGATGCTCAAGCCATCCAACTACATTTATTCTTATTAAAATAGTTTCTGATGGCATGAAGCAAATACCAGTTAAGTGGACTGCCCCCGAAGCGCTTAACTTTGGCAAATACACATCACTCTGCGATGTTTGGTCATATGGCATTCTTATGTGGGAAATATTCTCCAAGGGTGATACTCCATATTCAGGAATGAGCAATTCACGTGCCAGAGAGCGCATCGATACAGGTACAGCATATAGTCAGCACAACTCTTATAAATCAATAAATATCGCCTTGAGATAATTAATTTAGAACGGCTATAGTTAAATTATGTAACTAAACATAACAGATAGGAATATATCCGTACCGTATTACTTTACCGTAAAATTAGAAAAACATTCTTACTCGAGAAAGAAAATTGGCGATTTCCAATACTAAATTAATATCCTCTAAATTATCAGTACATTTTTGTATACCCTTGTCCAGGGTATTATAGAAAAGTGTAGTTCATAGAAGGCGATCTACGACCCTTGCACCAATATATGATACAGTTTCCATAGGATCGTATGGGTATATGGAAAAAAACAGGATGCAATATATTTTCAGCAACCTTCACCATATATCTGTAAATATCTGTATCTGAATCCTTAGTTAAATGTTACTAATTATATTGCTTTGCATTCATTTAATTTGCCAATTGTCATAGGTAGTCAGTTAGGTATGCTAAAGTGTAACTAATATTTTCAGCAGACATTGAACTAGTTTTTGTTGATGCTATAAACTTAAAATTAGGTGAAAGCGAAAAACGATGGTGACTCAAACGTAGCACACCTTATAGAAAACTTGTGCATGTATTTCGAGGTACTGTAATCTGAATGGATTACAATTTTGTAAAACACAACATTTTGTGAAAACTTGTTAATAGGATGTTTTTGTGTGATTTTCACCAATTTCCGACATTAAAGTATGTGGGTACAAAGTACTCAGAAGCATTTTTAGTTATTTTTCCATTTATATTATGCTGAATGTATTGCACTTTTACACTTTCAGGATATCGAATGCCTACCCCGGAGAACACGCCGCCGGAAATGTACCGTCTCATGCTTAAGTGCTGGGCTGCTGATGTGGAGTCTCGTCCGCATTTTGATGAGATCTACAACGTGGTTGATGCGCTTATCCTGCGCCTGGAAAATAGTCACTGAGCGTAGCAGCAATTCAATATATTCAGCAGCTGTAATTATTTCTAAAGCATACTCAATGTAGTTAGCTTAGCAAGCGCTTTTAAAGTATGAAACTTTTTAGAACTAAGCAACGAAATGCCTGTATTTATAAAATATAGTATACATACATTATAAGATAATTACCTATATAAACATATATATTTTAAGCACATGAACGATATTTATAAAAATTTGCATATATATTTTATAGTCGTTTAACTGTACATTTTTACATATATGTGTGCCTGCTTGAGTGTATATGTATGTATGTATGTGTGTATGCATTTGCGTGATCCTGTCTAATTTGTCGTAACGAACCCTTATTGTGCCAAAAACAGCAGTAAAAGAAGCCAGAGAACTTTTGGAAACTCAACGTGTGCTTGATGAACTCCTAGCTTATGTTCTTGAATTTATTATTTTAGTTGTTGGTATTTAAGTTGAAACATTTGTAAATTATTCAGTCTTGCTATTTCCTGTTCCTTTATGGGCTCTTGGAATGGCTTTTTATTAAATTGTATATTTATTTAATGCTATTTACATTTCTACTAAGTTTACAACTTTAATAATATACATTCAAGCTCTAAGTTTAAGCTCAAATATTTGCATCACTGAAAATTTTATGCAATAAAATTTAAAAAGAAATGTTGAAAATAGTATATTTATAAATAAAAAGTTTATCTAAAGCTTTTTGTTAATTGCCAATGGAACGTCGGAAAACTCCACTTTGGTATAGAATTTCTTAAGCTCGTTCTTCAGCTCTAAGCTGTGCGCCCAGTCCACCGTTTCGCAGACCACTTTGACCTCCACCGTATAAATATCGCGTAGCCAGGCTCGTTCATGCATAATGTCCTTGATTGATACTCCTACTCGAACAAGCCGAGCGCATAGGTCATTTATGCCTCCAGGACGATCACTGACCTCCACATTGAACTTGACCAAACGACCCTCAGCTGCCAGCCCACGCTCCAGGCAACGCCCAAAGACTGTGGTATCTATATTACCACCGCAGAGGAGCACCACAACTCTGGATATCAAATCAGATATTAATCATTATGGAGAAGCTATGGGCCTTGATTTGGAGATGCGCACCTCTTGCCCTTTAGATCGTCCAGATGGCCAGCAAGTATGGCAGCCAGTCCAGCACCGCCAGCACCTTCGACCACGCACTTTTCCTCCTCCACCAAACGTAAGATGGCCACCGCTATCCACTCCTCTTTCACCACAACCATTCGGTCAATTAGTGGCAATGCTGTGGCGTATGCGTTGACTCCGACCTTGGGAACGGCCAAGCCATCAGCTAACGTGTTTTTGATAGGCGTGCTTATGGGCCCTTTATGTTCCATTGCACGTGTAAAGCTCGCACACTTCTCTGATTCAACACCCTAGAGAAATTTTTGCCAACCCATTGAACAACGGTCAAGTATATTTGTGTACTTACAATTATTTTTGTGTTCGGCGAGAGCGCTTTAACAGCTGTCGCAATGCCGGCGATAAGTCCGCCACCGCCCACCGGCACCACAACTGCATCTGGCTCGGGCACCTGCTCCAGAATCTCTAGGCCAATGGTACCCTGTCCGGCCATAATGTGCGGGTGATCATAGCCATTTACATATAGCAGCTGTTGTTCTCGTGCCATGCGCATGGCCAACGACTTAGCCTCCCCCATATCCTGACCCTCAACTATCACGCGAGCTTTGTAATTGCGACACTTTTGTACTTTCATAATAGGAGCTGCTTTTGGCATCACCACGGTGACAGGTATTGACAATTTCCAGCCATGGTAGCACAGTGCCAGAGCATGATTTCCCAACGAGGCACTGATCACTCCCATGCGTTTTTGCTCCTCAGAAAGGCAGAGAAGTGTATACCTCGCTCCCCGCTCTTTAAAGCTACAAATAAAATAATTTAAACGTTGCTTTTTAATTGCAGATAGGTGCGAGGTTTCCCAGATATTTTGTCGGCACGAGCTAGGCAATTGATAATGCCGTACCACGCCTACTAAGCGAAACTAATTACCAAAAAATTACTTAATCATTAGTATGAAATCAACTTAATGCAATCTTATAAGAGTAAGTGATTAATATTTTCTAAATTCGAATCGAATTCAATTACGCGATTATTAATGAGTATTTTATTTGATAACACACTTCAGCCAATGGAAGGTTCAAGATAAAAATATATAATCACTACTAAAAACGTTTTAATTAATTTATTTAGTTCAACTATTAGTTAAAGAGCTATTATAAAATTAAAAATAATAGAAAGCACAATCGATCTTTAATTTCGGTGTTTCTATTAATCTAATATACACCTATTATTTGTACAAAACTTATCGCTAAACGGAAAATCTCATTCCAGACAATACACATTAATGTGTACTATGTTAATATTATAAAGAGTTCTATGAACAAGAAAATTCCGCTTGAGTACTTTGGACCTACATCTATTAGTAATACCCTGGGTAAAAACGGGTATGATGATTTGAATGTATGTAGCAGGCACAAGGTGGCATCTCTAACCCCATGAAAAAAAAAAATACATATATATAGATATATGTCTTTCTGTTCGTCCGTCCAAGATGAAATTTCACATATATATTCTTGTCTGTGATACGCAGAATTATATAATAGAAACGATACATATCGATTTCAGAATATATAATATACAGAAGACATACATGTTATACAAATATTTCACATTTAAAATAAAGGCGTAGCCTGTCCTTTGATATACATTCGAATTTATCAAGCCCCAAAATATTCTTATATATGGAATGCAGGCACCGAAAGCTTTTAAGAATGCCTTTTCTTATAGATCCAGCTTCAAAATGAGCTCTACTTGCGATTTGCGAACGTGGGTGTGTTTATTTGTGTGTATTAAGTAAAGTTGGGTATCTTAGAAGCAGGCACTGAAATCAGGGTTCCTGCTAGTCGGGCCCTCCCGGCTAGATCACTCATTTTTTTAAACAAGACTTTAGAATTTCAGATTAGAAATTAAGAGATTTCGCGACTAATGGATACCTAGTATCAAGTTCTTTAGGTCTATTAGTAGCACCGACTTACCTGCCTGTATATTGCAAAAAGTCCTTTTTCAAATATAAATCCATGCCATATGTGTCTGACGATGTGGACCTCTGCGAATAAATCATTAAGCTTCACTCTCCACTTCATCTGATAACTTACTGGACACGGGGTGCGCTCCACTCCACCTTTTATCAAAAAGGCAGCCGATGTCACATCATGGAAAGAAATGCGACGCGGATTTTTGGGATCACAGAAGGGATCAACGATTTCATCACCTCCGCACGAGACATGTCGCGTTATGCTTGGTGGAGCCACTATTTCCGACTTACTGCTCTCCGAGGCGCCATTCGCTTTATTAGCTGCGTGGCCATTCTTACTATTCTGCGTTTCCCCCTTCCCTTGCCCTGGCTGTGACATATTGGCGATATTCCGCTTTAGTTATCCCGGTTCCGGCTTATTAATTTGAGTGGTGCCACTAGTGACTACGAGCAGCCGCGAACAACTGCACGGAATGAGAAGACTTTATATACATTTATAAAAGCAAATCAACTGGAACACAAAAGAACAGACATCTTTAGAATACCGAACACCAAATACACTTGCAGAATTAAATGAGGTATTATTGATTAGTCCGCTGTAGATAGATTTTACTTTAAGAACTCTTTTTTGAACCGATAATTCATATGGCAGTAATATATGATCATTTCGCTTATATGTATGTTAAGTATGTTGCAAATAGATATTTAAGAAAGAACACTTTTTATAAACAATTCTGAATTTGACCAATGGTTGCTTGTCATCTATATGAGAGAGAAGGCTGATAAGGGCAAATCCAGCATATGTACTTCAGATAAGTACGGATCAAATCAAAAAAAACATCATCAAGTCAGCTTTAAGCCTGGAAATATATAGATTTACGAGCAGTCTTAATGATCAGGCATATGTGTCCTGATATGTCTCCTGCAGTATGAAGCACGATTCATGAACAATTTATTATACCCTCTATAGGAGTAAAAAAATAAAAAAAAAAATATATATATATATGATCATAAAACGGCACCTTTTGTGTCGATAGACCAGGCATTTTATGAGATCAGGCTTGGCGACCGCTGATAAGCCCCATTTTGTAACCATTAATGAATAACAACGATTATTGTATTTGTTATTTTAGCACCGTCAATAGAGGCTCTCGTTTGTCGTTTTCTCTGCCAAAACAGTTTTGGTGGGTAATATTGCGGGCCTAGGGGTGATCGATAAGAATTTGCGTGCTAGTTTTACGCATATTTAAGAACACAATTTTGTTCATGGCCAATGGAAGGAGCACAATAAATATAGTAGTAATTTCGATCAGATGATCGATAAATATTTATCTTGTAAATTTATATGTTTGATATATAAGCAGAAACAGGCATAGTTCTCACGAGAGAGAAGATGGTACCCACAAAATTTGAGTTCTTCGCATCATTTGCAGTAAGTGTTATCAGTCACGATCTTTGTCCTATATATCAATACTAATTCATTATTTACTACCCTTCTCTTCTACTCTTTTGTTCATACAAATCACAAGACTTTTTGAACTACCTTTGAATCTTAACCTGGGTACTACTTTACTTGCTATCGAAAATTTCTGCTGAAATGTTTTAGCCTCAAAATGGAAGATAAGCACAGTAAAAATAAACATATTTTAAGACTCCCAATTTTTTTATTTTGGGCTCTCAAAAACAACATAGCTTATCTTATCATCACATGAACAAAACAACCCACTAAACAGAGATGCAAACAAATGGTCAAAATTAAACATGGAAACAAAACAGACTCTTATCCGCAAACGGTGGTGCAAAGTTCACTTAAAATCTTTCTAAGCATTGAAGCTCAGCCAGTTTGCCGGATTGGTGACAGTCATTTGCTCCACCTGCTCGAGGGTTACACCGCGCTGGAACATGCGTGGCAGAATATTCATATGAATGTGATGGTAGCCGTGTCCACCGTAGGAAGTCTAAATAAAAACGAAATAGATCGAGATATAATTATGTGTTTATAAACACAACAACATTGTGGCTTACTAGGCGATGCTTTGTGTGTATGTCGTGCGACATAAGAAGCCTGTCAACGAGTCCTTCATTGATCAACTTGATGAGATTTTCAATGCGCTGGCCATCTGAAATCATGTCCACTGTTGAATTAAGCTGATAGTAGGAGCACTCTGTGCCAAAGAGATCGTATTGCAGGTAGCAGCCCAACTTGGCAAACTCTAGTAGCTCGTCCATGTCAAAAATTGTGCCTTAAAGGGAAGGATCGTTAGAAGAAGTCAATGATGCAAAAGCAACTGCTTACGATCCAAATGGGACATGACACATTTGTTAGCATGCCCTCCGGCCTCAAGATAGAGGCGCATGATTTCAAAAGGTGCCTTGGATACACGATGGGGATGCAGTGACACGCCGCAGCCCAAAACCTCCTGGATCTCGCCAGCGGCAAGAAGGGCATGTCTTTCGAACTCTGTAAAATTAAAAGGTATTATCAATTTGCAGTTCGACGATCTTCTGCTCACCTTGTACAGGATACACGCTGGCCACCTCGCCAATAAAACCACATTTCACAGTGCGGCCGTTCACATCGATGCCAGTAAGAATATCCCTAGTGTAGAGATCAGTCATCTGCTCGACTGTGAGATTTTTGTGCGTGGCATCCTGGGTAGCGTGTATATAATGACCGGTGCCAGCAATGAAATGAACACCCGTTGTCTTGGCCAGGTCCACAATGAATTCCAGATTTCGTTTCAGTCCATAGCTGCTGTTCTCCACGATGGCGCCGCCCCCATGCTTCTTATAGAGAAGAACATCCTTTCTAGATGCTTCCAGAGCCTCCTCGTCGTAAAAGCGCACGTTCTCCCTGCTCGAATACGGGTACAAACGAACGTAGCCCAGCGTTGCCATGCTAATCTTTTGCTGTAATTCATTCTCAAAATCCGCCGGCGGTGGCTTATAAAAGTGCTCAAAGTCCAGAGCCACGTGCTCATGGGTAAGTGTACGGCCCAGCAGATTGGGTGGAATGCTACCGAGAACTGTGCAACACCAGCGTTCATGATCGTCCCGGCAATTTTATAGTTTAATGGAAAAGTTTATTTACTCTCTAATGTATAATGATAACGAGATAGGCGCCGCTTTTTAATGACTGCAATCGCATCATCACAATCGCGCTGTCCTCCTCTTCACACTCTATCAATAGCGGATCATGCTCCGATGATACTCACCAGTTTGTATTCTTGTCATTTCTCTGGTATTAAACGAGGTCACACTTGGCTATGGCTCTGCGCTTCGTATCTGAAAGATTGACTTCGTTTTTATCTCTCACAAATGGTTGAATCTCTTGGAGACTGCACTAAATTGAGGTTGTTTTGGGCGTTGTCGAATGCCGCTGCGCGTGCAATCACTTTGACTGCGCATAGGCAACTGATCGTCTGTGCGGAGTTCTCCGACGCTGGTAACTTGTATATGGAGCACAGTTCTCGCGCCTTACCGAAAGACAACTGCGCATATGCAATCGCCGAGGCAAGGGCTGTAAAAATAGATAGTACATCTACATGGGTATTTTCAAATCCGTTCATTAACTGCGGTTCGCATATGTTGTGCAATTATGAAGAGCTCTTGTTGATCGAGACAAGCTATATTGTTACAAATTTCTTGATTAAATCTGCGGTCATATTTGACTTATCCACTGTCAACGACGTGTATTTAAACTTAGCACTATGTTCTTCTTATAAAGACAGATTTTGTGAGACTGTTAACAAAGCAAAACACATGAAAATTAGCATTTGATCCTCTAGCTTTAAGAAATTGGGTAACAGCAGCTATTTCTACACAAAAGGTTCTTCCTTTTTTTAGATTGTCTTCATGTCCATGCTCCTTCAAGACCTACTAGGCTTTATCGTCCATCATTTTGAACTACGTGCTATGTATATATCTCTTGGTCTCTTTTGCTACAACTACAATAGCTTGTACCACGCCTTTTGCCTGTTACATAAATTTGCATAAAGCCATTACACGCTTTTTCGCCCATTTTCAATGAGTTCGTGGTATAACACCCACCCATCCAAAAGGCCAAATAGTGCCAAAAGCGAAGTGATATAGTTGAAGGCTTGGCCGGAAGCATATGACGTCGTTCTCAAAACAAACATTGACCTTATCCTCTTCTGTAAATATCGATCAGATGAGAAAAAAGTTTTAATGACACGTCATTGTGTCGGAAGAAGAGGTTTCAAGGATATACGTCAGACTGATATCTGCAACTGACAAGTTGCCAGATTTTGAGGCCGGCCTGAATAAAAAACAGGCAGCTCTTCAACATGATTTAATGTCACATTTTTAACACGGCGGCAGGTTGTGGTGTCCTCAAAATTGCAGCTGATTGAAAATCTTTCCCGCTGGCCATTCAAGAGAAAGCTCCACAGTTCGCTGGCCCTCAAAGATAAGCTTTTAAAGAGCTCTCAGCATTAACTGTTGCGTTTTAGAAGATCCAAGTCTGGAGGGTGTGAGACTGATTTGACGATACAAAGGTAGTTTTCATTATTTGTACAATTAAAATAAATTTATGAGGTTGGTCACTAAAATGCGGTATCCAAAAGAAGTCGCGGGCATCTTCTATTTTTTTTTTGTAAAATTTGAAATATTTTTCAGTAGTTTGGATTTCTCAGAATAATTCTCTTTATTAGTTTAATTTGTTTCTCTTTATATTTTGTTTTACTTTTTGTTACTTATGTATAATTATATCAGTTTTTGCAATTTCTCATTTATCAGATATTCATATAGTCTATATATACTTAAGACGTATGTATCTTATCTGCATGTCAATGCTGCTTCCGTTCCGTTGTGTTCTTTATATTATAAATTATTAATTTTTTTCTTTTTATATATTTTGTATAGATATTTCGTTTTAGATTTACCTTAAAGCTTAGCATTTTTATATACTTTCCCTCAGTTATTTTTGATAATTCCCACGCCAATGTTAGCCTTTCAAATACATATTTTCTTCCGCTGGTAAAGCTTATAATGTTGATATTTAAATTTATTTAAAATATATATTTCTTTGAAATGTGTAAGCTATTAAAGTTTACTTCTTGAATTGTTTGGTGTTGTTGTTTTTCATAAATATTGTATGCAAACTAATTTATAATAAAACTTGAGGAAACTTGATTCACTGCTAACCTGTTGACTTATTGAACACTTTCTGTGACTTTATTTAGATTAATAAATATAATGCTATTGCCTTAATATGCAAATTGTTAACGAAATCTTACCCCAATGCCAATTGTCAATCGGTCATAAGAAATTCCCTGCAGTCTAATCTAGTCTATTTAGCACCTGGGCGGGGACTACATTGATTGGGCAAATTGAAATCAAAATAAATAAAAAAAGTAACAAATGTTTTTCAAAATTATAGAATCGCCTTTTATTCAACATTTTTAAAATATTTAGGTGTGTATAAATTTGAAATTATTCCTTACTTTGTGTTTCTTGAGGTGTTTTCTTTTCTTCATTATAAATTTATGTTTTATTTCTCTGCACTCTTAAAGTGTCATATTGTTATTGTATTTGTTATGCTTTGTTTATGTTAATTAAAATAGTTCTTGCTCTTATATGCGTTTCCATATCTCTGTTTCCATATGTACTATGTATTTCTATTTAGATTCAAACTAGCTTTACCATTTAGTCATTAAATATATGTTCACGTGTTTTCATTTGTTGCAGTAGTTTTACGTTTTTAATTACAATTATACATTAGTATATTATAGATTTATATTATATAGATAATATAAATTTATAATTAATTTTCGTGCTTGGTATCATTATCCATATATGTACTCTTTTATACGTTTTTACAACTATATATTTTTCTTGAATCAGCCAACAAAAGTTTTAAACCCAAAATCAATAGTCCAATTCCGCTAACATTTGCAAAATATGAACAAAAAACGATCTTGGTAGAGGTTATTAAATAAATGTATTCGCAAATTAAATTGGTATATATATGTATTTTAAAGTGTCCTTAAGTTTATAAGCACATGAGTGACTAAGAAGTGCGTCCAGCAAAAGCGACAAAACTCCAATTAAAAATAAAAGAACAGCAAATAGAATAAAAATTTGAAATTAAAATTAATGGCGCTTACAATACGATAAAAGTATGTATGCATATATGTATTTACATAATAAGTTTGGTTAATTAGTAATTATTTGCCTTTTCACTTTTTCATTAACATAAACACAATTTGAACTAAAACACACTGAAGCGTCTCAAAATATAATTTTATAAACTATATCTAATTTTAAAAAAAAAACCAATTTCGAACTCATTTAAATTTGGGTTTTTTTTTTACGCGCACGTGTTTGTAAGTTGGCCAGAAATCTGGACTCCTAACAGCCCCAGTAGCGTTTGCTGATCTATACAGACCCAGATTCATTTGGATGCGGGATCCCAGCATTATTCTGGTATTTAGATTTTATTTTATTTTTTTTGTGTGTGTGTATATTTGAATACGTTTACTTTTTAATGCATACAATTTTACTAATTAATTTTAAAGTGATTATTGAATTATGATATACGTTCGTGTAGCATGTATATTGTTCTTTAAAGTTTCAGACATAGTTAAATTTAAACAACTAATAAACTTGAATTAAATTAAAATGACAATTTTGCTGTTCTTGTTGGTTGTCTATATTTTCTTTTCTTTTAATAGCAGTTCCTAGTTTCTCTTTTAAATTTACAATAGCTTTTCGTTAAGTTAAAATTATGATTAAGTTGCTGGTTTTGTACAGATTTATGTTTTGACTTTTCTATTGAAACTTTATTTATTGTATATGGTTGTGCTTTCTATTCAAGTTCAAGTTGTTTGTCTTTACCAGGTCCGCTAAAATTGTCTATCCACAAGAAGGCGCCCAAAACATATCGCTTAAATCAGAGCTTAGTAGATTGACTACTTGACTAACCCAAAAACAAGATCTAGAAACCAATATAGTAGAAGGACGCATTGATCCAGCCATCTAATATTGCAACCATATAAAAGCATTCACCTTGCCCCGAGCTTCTTTACCCTTTGTCCTGAGGTATTGGTTGATGCTTTCTCAAGTAGCCTATTTCTGATAGTTGTTTTGGCTTATTTCCTCAAATAGCTGTGCTAAAATGGTTCTGCGTTAATTGGGTTTTTTTCAAGTTTTACATTAAAATTTATTGCATTTACCTCATTTGTTTTTATTTGATTTTTTTTCTTTTGTTTTGCATTTTGCTTGAATAATGCTAACAACAAAATTTATATCTACATATGTATTATTGTAATTGGATTTAATAAATCTTTAATTACTAAAAGGAAGAAAGCAAAATTAAAATAACTTTTATGTATGCCCGTTAATTTCTTTTTAACATAAACGAAGAAAAACTAAATAACGCTTAAAGCAATAAGAACCTAGCGACAAACCATACATATTATAACGTTTGTAGGCTTTTATGTTTAGCAACGTTATTATGTTTCAATGTGCATATACCCAAAAGAATCTTGTATGTTCGCATATGACATTATTTACATATCTATATATATATGTGTTCATCAAAAATCAAATCGATTGAAAAGTATATGTAAAATATTTCGCTTTTAGTTTTCGGACCAAAATATAAAATATAAAATGAAAAACGCGCAACTTGCACTGCATTCGCCTTCTTTGTTTATATAGTTAATTATATAATGAACTTTATATGTTTAGTATTAATACGCTGCTCTCTCCAACTACATCACTCCTTTGCGCTCTCAGTTTTTTTTTGCTTTTTCAATATTTGTCCAAAGGAATTTTTATACATTTTTTTCTGGTTTGCCTTTTTGCGTTTCATGTTTTGTTTGTTTTTTTGTTTGGTTTTTAGTTTTAATACATATACATACATAATTAATCAATCAATAATTAAAAATTATGAAATAGTTTTCTAAGCGGTTTGTTGTTGCTGCTGTTGCTGTTGGGTCTAAATTTAGATTTAGTGGTTTTTGTTTGCTTGCTTTTGTATTTTGCCTTTTTTAGTTTGCTTTCATATATGCAACACATTACAAACACAAATTACACACGTTGTCTACATAAAATTTATCTTCTTTTGTGTAATTGGTAACAATTTGCACATGCGTGTTTTCTTGTTGTTGTTGTTGGAAATCGTATGTGTTGTGTTGTTGACGAAGCATCGAATACAAAAAAATATGAAACTTGCATTTGGAATAACATCTAAATGGTCTACCAATCGTTGAGCTACATGTTACAGGTCGTAGGTCACAGCAGTTAGCGGCGATTGGTGCTTGCTAACGCGCTCATACGCGTCTGGTTCAAGTAAGAATGATGCTGTATGTGTCGTGATAGTGATTGTTGTTGCTGCTGTTGTTGCTGCTGTTGTTGCTGCTGCTGTTGCTGCTGCTGTTGCTGCTGCTGCTGCTGCTCCTACTTTCGTCGTTGCTGCAACTGCGATTAACTTATAGATGTTATTCCGAGCAGCTATTGTTGCAGTTGCCGTTGTAGGTGTTGTTTTGCGTGGTATTTGGTTAACGTTTTCGTACTATTGTTTCTTGTTATTGTTAACATTATAATTAAATTACAATTACAATTATTTATAGTATTTATATTTACATATATATCTATATACATGTATGCGTATATAAATATATATGTATGTGTGTGTGGTGTGTGTGTGGTGTGTTTGTAATGTGTGTGTATGTGTGTATGTGTGCATGTGATTGTGTTATTGTGTTGTGTGTATGTATACGTGTTGCTGTGTTTTCTTATGTTTGGGAGTTTTGTTTGTTGTTGTTGTTTATATTGATTTGTTGGTGCGTAGCGTGTGTATATATACTATCATAATATGTAGTTGTTATTATTCTACGGCTACTGTTACTGGCACAATCTCTCGCAATTCAAATCTTTTGGATTTTCTCGCCAACTACAACCGGATTATTGCGTCGAATCTCCTGGGCGCCATGCTCTCTGTAGTCGAATGTGCAGTTGTGTTTATCGGAATAACGATGCACGGCACAGTATAAGCCGCCACAGCGACACTGGAAACCTGAAATAAACCCATGTTGAAACGGCTATTAATATCTATAAAAGGCATTTGTATTAAATCTTACCAGTCAGGCCAACCTTCTTGCGGCATTCGCCACATCGGTTCTTCATTTTCTTGGCGTCCTTGTCATCTTCCTTGTCCTTGTCATCCTGCTCACAGGCGGAGGCAGCTGCTTGTGTGGAAGTATTTGGACCAGACGCCGATATTATGGCTTCACTATTCGTTTTGGCAGCGACTGCGGGTTCCTCAGTGATTTTCTAAACAATCGCAAGAGAATAGAATTATTGAGAAATGTGAGTCAAATGCCAATCAACACAACAACAATAACAAAATGTCTACAATCTGTTCCAACTGCAATTTAAATGTATTCCATCATTATTTTTTACGTTTTATTTTTCAAGGTGAAGTTGATTCCGACCCCATCCCATAAAACAAGAAAAAACTTCTAACTAAGCGTTAGCATTGTGTGTGGTTGATTCTGCGTGTTTACCCGCTTCTTGGCAACTGCATCAAGTGAGTCTGCTGCTGCCAAAGGTTTTCTATGCTGGACTAGATCGCTACCAATTGGACATTCGTCGATTAGGTTCGAGTCGTTTATGCGGCGCTTGCTGTGTTGCTGCTGCGACTGTTGTGGCTGCTGTTGCGGCTGTGGCTCTGGCTGCGGTTCAGACTTATGCTCCAGCTTCTGTTCCGACATCTGCCTCGGCTTCTCGGATTTATCGCCGTTAGACTGTTCCATGGCGCACTCACGCAAATAGGATGTCGGCGTTCAGTGGGAGGCTATAGTACGCGCCCGGACACTGGCTTATTTTTGCCTCTGCTTATAGGGAGGAAGGTATCGCGTTTTACGTTAGGCTGTATAGAGTAGGCCAAACGAGGAGCAGGTCTACTGTTCACTACTATCGGTTGACGATTGCTTGCTCCAGCCTTGATGCGCGGTTTCTTAACCTTCTTGTTGAGCAGCTGCTTGGGCTTGCGAAACGTGCCAGCTACTGGCGCTTTAGGAGCTTCGCAAGGTGACTTGCGCCCGCGTGCCGATGAAACAGGTTCCACGTCTATGATTGTGCCGTAATGCTGCACGTCTCTGCTAAGGACAGTGTTGGGCTGCTGTGTAATGGACAAATCAATCTTGTTGGCGACACTCTTATCGCCAAGCGCCGATCGCGGATGGTTACGCTTAAGCTTCTTGATTCGCTTTTTAAGATGCAGCTCTCCGATGCGCGCCTTTTTGTTACTGGTGTTCGACGGAAACGTGTGCACGTTTGCCGAAAACTTAACTTTACGGGAACCGCTAGCCTCGGCTCTACCACCCTTTGAGTTCGAAGTCTCAGTTGCACCGGCGCTTTTGCGTAACAGTGAAGTCTTTTTATCTTGACTCTCTGCTAAATTTGAAGACGGCGGAATACGAGCTGACTTGACACCAGAGCTAGAGGCGATACCCTTGTCTCCTTTGCGGAATCCTCCGTCTGCTAAGAAAGCGTATTGACACGCAGAATGGGAAGGAAGCAAGTAGGGAAACAAAATTAATGCGACTGCGCAACGCCTAACAGATAAAAACAGCAACGTGTACCCTTTGCCGTAAGTGTGCTGCCTGGTCTCACTGGTAAAGGCAAATTGATGGCAGGAGCCAATGCTCCAGCCGAGACACGCGCTATTCGGGAATGCTTCTTACGCCGGCGTTGCGCTGTCGGCGGCATGGAGCATGAGCTGCCCTCCATTCTAACAGCTGTTGAAGTAGTTGCACCATTACGCCCTGATGGCTTGAGGGAACCACTTAAATTGAGCATTCCTTCGAATTTGGAATATTCCTGGAAAATTTTGAAAGATAGCCAAAAGTTGTTTCACTAGATTCTGTTTCGAATATAACTGACAATTTTCACATTATTCCCATGCCCCTGATTTTAAGTTCAAGGCACTTCTATACATATTCTACTTTATCACGAGCTAAATATTTGGTGTACATTTATTATAGTAGTAGTAGAAGCCCAGTCCTTTTGTCCGTTCTGGAGTCCCCCTGCTCTTTAAAAACAGAAATACAACCAATGCAAACTATTAGCTCCCCCAGTCTACGAATCATGTATCAGAACCCGAACGAGAACTGTTGGTTCTTTATATGCTTGTCGATAAACTAAATAAAAAATAGATTGTAGATAAGACCTTAGCTTTGCTTGCATGTATTGTTTCGTTTGTCTTGTACGTAGTTTATATATTAAGCATCATGCATAACAATCTGATAAAGTTGAAAGCTAGCTTAATATTTGAAGAACAGTAAGGCAATATATAACAAGAGGTTCTAGTCGGGAGCTCCCGACTAGGGGATACCCTGAACCCTCTTCTTCCAAATCAAATGCATATATATATTCTATTTTAGAAGCTATTTGTCAAGTTTGGTGACTCTAGCTCTTATTATTTACCAAAATTGTCCAAAAAACAGGATATAGATTTAGATTGTTATCGATTGCTTGGAAACGGAGTAAGTAATCGATTATCGGAAACAAACTCGATCTACGCAGGCACTAGGAGCACCTACATCTCCAATTTCGAGTCTCTAGCTCTTATAGGTTCTGACATCCTTGCGTTCATACATACGGACGGGCGGACAGACAGACATGGCTAGATCGACTCGGCTATTGATGCTGATCAAGAATATATATGGGGTCGGAGATGTTTCCTTCTGCCTGTTACATCAATTTGGATTTTGCACAAATACAATATACCCTTTTTACCCATTTTCAATGGGTTCAGGGTATAACCCTATAACCTAGCCTGTTAAAAGCAATTAAAGTGTTAAAGGAAAATGATTTTAAAATGGCAATATGGACATTTCCACTAAAAGATGCGCCATGAACAAAGTCTAAGCAACTTAATTGAATAGATAATTATCACAGAATATATTCACATTACTTTTAAAACCAACAACATGAAATATCGAATTTAAACCGTCCTAATAGTATTGAACTGGACGGTCGCAATAAGATATTACGACCAGATTAAATTTAGATTAAAACAATACCAATTCATAATTTATAAGCAAAAGCTACATTGAACTATTTGGCCGCTTTTCGCAGACGAAAGCCATTAAAAGCCTATTATGGTAAGACTATGCTTTTGACAAATCCCCCCAGATCTTTACTCGAAATACTTAAGACAATGGTATCTACAAATCTATGTTAAAGAAAAAGAATGCAAAATGTAGAAACCATTCAACTGACATTTTAAATATAATACTTGCTAATTACTCAACTTTTGATTCACTTCTGAGGAGCAGCACCACTAAAGGCTAATTTGTCCTGTTCTCGAAATAATCAGATGTCGGTGTGCCTAAAGAACAGCAATGTGAGAGACATGGATCTCTGTTTGGATTACCTTGTCAACTCCACCGTAGTCTGCAGCGACACGTGGCCAGCACAGCCAGCACAGCCAACACACACGATGCACTGTTACAATTAACTTTTTCTATATTTTACACATACAAGTTGTTTAGACTATTTCACTTATAAGAAGACTAAATTTATATCCGAAAAACAAAAAAAAATTTGTGACTGACTGATGAAAAATACAAAGATATCAGAGGCATCCACAAACTGCTTGGCCTACTAAAAGAGTTGGAACAAGAAAGCCCACATCGATGGCTTGAGCAGCAAACCTTACACTCACCTCTTTTACATCACTGTGTGACTGCTGTAAGCTCTGTACCGTGGGCTGTGCGGTGTTGGTTGTTGCAATGGCCGGACTGAATGTAGGGCTAGGTTGTGGGCTTGGAACTGAGGCAGGTGTGCTGCTCACAGGTGGCTGTTGCTTTTTTCTAAGCGAGTCCTGCAGAGGGAAAGAAGTTTTAAACATGATTCATGGTTTATATTAAATGTGAGGTGGTTAATATACTTACCTTGTAACAAACCGAACACAGACCATCTGTGGCTGGATTTCCATAGAAACCGCATCCAGAGCGGCACATGGGTTGCATTGGATTCGATTCACGTTCCATGCTGGCTGGACCAATTTTATGAAGGGTGTGTGTGCGTGAATTAAAAAGTTGATTGGACAACGATGGATCGACAATTGTATCGTCTACTCTCTTTTTTTGTTGCTGACTTTCGCCCAGCGAAATATGTTGCGGTTATTTCCAGTTGCAGCTGCGGCGTCAGCAACTTCGACTCCTCTCCTTTCGCCCGTTTATTATTGTTGTTATGTATGTGTTCGTATTGCTCTTTGCTTAGCTAACTTCCGTCCAAGTAATTAGCTTGCTTCGTGACATACGCGGAGCAAACAGAGTTTTTAATCCAATCGTAAACCTGCAAAACAAATGCAAAGAAAATTTAACTAAGCAGCGTGCAGAAAAATATACTAAAAAATGCTGAAAACGCGTGCAAAACGCAGCTCAAGGACTAGTATTTATAGATTTTTTGGTATAAGGGTAAAATGAATGAATGATATGTGAAGTCACAGATCTATCTATAATTTATGTCTTAAGAAATTCGACGAGCCTTGAAATAATTTGCAGTAAGTACGAGCACTCTTATTTTCAAACGATGCAACAAAATATCACACAAAATACGCATCTTGGAGCGAGTAAAAGAGCACAAAAGTTACGATTGAGTTGTGCCATAAACAAACAAAATTACATCGGGTTTTTTAGTTTCTCTTCAAGGCTGTCAACAGGTAAACACACACATTCATAAAAAAAATTCATACAAGACACATGCATGCCACAAAAAAGCAGAGAAATAAGTTAAGATCAAACCAGTTTTATCCGTCACACAGACATGCACTTCAGCGGGTGAGAGTGAGACAGAAATAGAGACATAGGGAGAGAGAGCGAGACAAAAGCAACGACTCGATAGACAGCAAATTAAACAAGTTTTATTTTATAATTTTACTAACACAAACAGTTCGGGCCTGCTGCAAAGTAATATATCGGCTGTGTATCGAAATTTCAAGCTATCGATATTGTGTTAATTTATATCGATTCTTGCACATAACTAAATTTTTTACAGCTAAACAAGTATAAATAATAAGTGTAATAAAATCGATAACAAGTATCTGAAAAATTAAACTTCAAGTCTTAATTTATTTAAACATATTTCTCAAAAATTGTGTTTGATGATAAGAAAAACGCTTAACATGATAATAAATAAATCGTTTGCAATAATATATATAATATACAAAAAACAATTAATAACAATTAGTTAAAAACTAAAAATGTCTTGATATAGCAGACCATAAACCGACGCACACGCGCGCAACAAAGGTAAGTACGAACTAGCTCTCACGCATAATATTCTGTCAAATAACAGCACTGTTAAAGCGTTGCAGTCACTGTTAAAAGTGGCCTCTGTTGTTGCGCGCATTGCACTTACATACATACGTATGTATTAATGTGTATGTGCTTCACACATGATATTTTCAACGTCTGCAAGCGACCAAATACCTTTTTTTTTTTTATTTTTTTCTACCTTCTTCTAAAATTTTAAAAATAGTGTTACAGTTATATTTTTTATAAAAAGTGCAAAGCCCTACTCATATTATACATAATGATTTTACAAGCTATACGACTTCGGAAAAAGCGTATCCTGATTCTCTAGCTTTTCCAGTATTGAAACATTAAGAATAAGTATATCTACCAACGTTTAAGTGCATAGACACTGGCCAAATTTAAAAATAAAATAAGTGACATGTGAGTTCTTTTGATTTCTCACGTACATACATATGTATAATCTTTAATGTATATACATATGTGTGTAGTTGATTTCCTGCTGTTGCGGTTAATTGAAAACCAAAACAGCTGTCTGTCAACGATACGTTTCTCTCTCTCTCTCTCACTCTCTTTGCTTTGCGCATGCATACATACATACACACATGTGTACATATGTATGTCCATCCGTTAGACATAATACGCAGCGGTGGATACGGCCTGCTAAATGAACAGCTAGACCTGCTGTTCCCTGTTATGCATTTCATTTACGTGCAATTAAACAAAAATTACGATTGTAGATTTACTTATCGATAGTTTTTTGTTTTGATATGTCCTTACCGCATGTGCAAATTTATATAAATTCGTATAAAACGATATAAATATGCATAATGCGATTAAAAATAAATATAATTATAATTGTAATTTAATTTATTATTTCGGACTCTAGAGTGCAATTAAGTGATGACGACATCTGTCGCTTGCTTGAATGTGACGTCACGGTTGCCCACATGAAAATTAAAATATAACACACCAGAGTTGCTTAGCAACCCATGTACAAATGTATGCATGTATTTTTATATGCACATGTATGTGAGAGCGAGTGTATGCCAAATGCGCACTTGTGAAAATTGCATAACAAATACATAACATTGCCAAGTACTATGTGCAAAACAAACAACAACATAAGCAAACGTGTGCTGCACTGCGACAGCAACAAGTTAGTGCTAGAGTCGGGAGTATTCGACTTGATAAACCCCTGCACAGTAGTAATCTGTGCATATCCATTTACGTACATTCATATGTATATGTAAAACCCTTACCCGGACGTAATGAAGTTATCGGATTTTGAACATCATTTTAATTGCGACCTCCCAGGCGTAAGAAATTTTAATTTCTCAGTACAACCTTGTACCCCAGTTTGCACCATGCGGAGGATTTTTCACAATCGGTAAATCGCATTTTGATCTGTCCATACAATCAAGCTGCCTTTTTTTCACATAGCAAGCTAAATAATTACCAACGCTGCAATGGCCAATTTTAAAAAGATTCCACTGCAATATCAAAACGGTAATGAACGCACAAGACTAACAAAGTAAAGGTTAATGTGCCTTTGACCTGCATTTAAATCACGAAATTTACAACAGGAAAGAAAACGGGGTGAGTAAAAAAGGTAAAGAACAAAGGCAGGCAAGGCAGACTGACCATACTAATACACACTCTCACCTACACAGACGAAATCTCAAATATACACACACATACGCATGGGGCCAGCGTTTGAGTCATATTTCCATATTAATGAGCGCGTTCAGCCCCAGCCATAACATACAGAAGCGTCGACTCCAAGAATGAAGCTGATGAAATGCACTGAGGAGCAACATCACCTCCAGCAGACATTGAATTTAGAGAGAGAGAGAGCGAGTAAAACAACATGGCGGCCATCTGAGCCTTGCTTGTGAGATTTTAAAGTCGCGCTCACGAATGCGACGCTCTTCCGGCTACAATTGATGAATGAGACCTCAAAAGAAATATGAGGGGTACCCACTTTTGAACACAAAAATAATCAATCACAATGCTAGCTAGCAAAGTATGAGTGACAATTTAAATGGCTGGAAGGCAATACAAATTAACGGAAAGTAGAGAGTCATGTGATCCAGAAAAGAACATAAGCCCAAGAAATAATATGCGTCTCTATTAACTGCAGGAGTTATACAGAAAAAAAAATACGCTCTTACTGAACGATCAACTGGCAGATCCAGGACCAAACAAGACAGATAAACCACGCATTATTTAACCGACCTTTGCAGACCAAACCTCTTCAAAATGCTCATAATGCTTTGCCCGTATCTAAGAAGCACAGGAAAATTAGTTAAATCCGAGTATGCTTAAGATATCTTGAAAAATAAAAAGTTTTTCATAGAACAACCTTATTTTTGACTGATCGAAAACCAGATTTTGCATAAATGAAACTTATAAGTGCCGAGTGCTCAAGATATCTTGAAACACAAATAAGTTCTCCATACAACAAGATATCTTTATAGACAAAAAAGTTGTTTATACAAAAACCAATTTTTCGACCGATCGTTCCTATGGCAGCAGTTATATGATATAGTGGTCCGATCCAGCCCGTTCCGACATATAGAAAGAGGGATATCTACATCTGTAACTCAGTATGTATCTATGCATGTATGAATGTATCTACGCATATATGAATGTATAAGATAATGACGGAATAATAATTAATTAATATCATCACTTTCGGTGTATGCTTTTGTTAAGAGGACGGACGAGTCTGTACTAGATTCTGTTTTTTTTTTTAATTTCTAAGCGTAGATTATTTAAGCTAAACACATCACTTGTTTAACATGAATTATGTCCAGGTAAATGTGCGCATTGTGAATTCATAGACTATAAACAATAAAAACAATAATAGTAATAATAATAACGTTCGAATGCTTGTCTTGACAAGGCGTTCATATGTGCTCCTTAGCTGGTGCCTCGCACACACACACATGCACACAGACAGCAAAAACAAACGGCAAGGTGTGCACTTACAAAGCCAGTGCATGTGTGTATTGAGAAGAACCCCTCGCTCGTGTAACCTCTAAATTCTCATGTTGCCATGCTGTGACGGAGCCGACGACTTACTTTACAATTACACACACACACACACACACACTCGTAGAAGATTTATGGAAATCGCATGGAAACATGAAATATGAGAAACACTACAAGAGTAGCTGTTGAAATAGAGAGGCAGAGGAAACAGCAAGTGAGTGAGAATAAGGTTCGATGCGAGCACAAGGTTCACGTTGTCAACCAACCACCACGAAGATCGTGGGGCGTTGCCGTCATTTTCGTGGGTGCAAGAAGAAGAATAAGCAATTTGTGAAACGGAACTAATTGCCATACGGATGAATCTTTAATACCCTGAATTCATTAAAAATGGGTAAAAGGCGTATAATGTAGTTGTGCATGTATATTCTTGATCAACATCAATAGCAGAGTCGATCTACCCATGTCCGCCTGCCTGTCCGTCCGTACGTATGAAAGGAAGAATCTCAGAATCAAGAGCTAGACTTATGAGCTAGAGACTTTTCGATAATCGATAACTGGCCCTATTTTCAAGAAACCGATAAAAATTCCATTCGAAATCCTTTTATTTTTTTCAGCAAATCTCTTAGGTTTTTAGAGCTCTGTTACAAGTTCGAGTTCTATAGCGGGGACTAATTTTTTTTGTTAATTTATTTTCATTTCTGCTAAGGCGAACGAGCTGCACTTGGTATTGCTAGAAGAGGGTTCAGGGGATCTCCTAGTCGGGAATTCCCGACTTGTAATATAAAAATGCCTAGATAAATCGACTTATATATATATAGACATAATTTCATTTTTGAGTCATCTGATATACATTATCGAATCAAATAAGTCGTTATAAAGATAGATGGCGTAATCTCCTCTAGAGCTTTCTATATTGAGCTATCTATTGTAATTTCATTGTATTTCTCATTCCAATTTTATTTAAAGTGGAAATTAATGAATTAGTCCTAATTTTCATTTAAAAGTTTTAAAAACCATTTTTTTTTATTTTTTATTTTTTATTCAGGTTAAAGTTTGTATCACAATATGGTTAGCAAAAACACGTTTTGCCTTACCCATTCCTTTTTACCTCTAGTATCCTTTTTGCTTTCGGCCCGTGTAGATCGTTAAAATCCATTAAGGCTTTTCAGAGATTTAAATGGTTAAATACCTGAGTCAGAAGCAACAATTTAAGAAATGACTGACATCGATGCTTAGCCGACAATAATGGAAGAACACAACAAAAAAACAACAGACAACATGAAAACAACAGAACGCGGAAGCCTCGGAATTTAACTAGCAATATTTCTTTGACTTCCATTTTGTGTTATTGAACTTTGCCGCTGGAGCTTGACCTTTGCAGCACCAGCTGAAGGCTAAAGCGTGGAGCTGCCGACTGACTCAGTGATGTTGACGTCAACTTTGTGGGAGTTAGAGGCGTGTCATTAATTTCATTGATATTCATTAAATACATCACTCACATACATACATCTGTACACAGCATATGTTTGCGTAAGTGTGTACATGGCTTTAATGCAAGCCAATGAACTGCACGGAGACAAAGAGGACCAGGGCGAGGCATTCGCCAGGGAAACCAAAACGACAAAGAATCAAGGCAAAAGGCAGACAGGCGAGAAATAAAGAGAACAAAAGGCAAAAGTTTCGATTTTCATCTTCCCTAGCTAACAGTAGAAGGGCGGGGAGGGGAGAGTTGACGGTTGCCAAAGCCCAAGAAGCCAGCTGTGGTGAATATGCTAAGAAGTACTGTTATGACTGTGCTGGAAAACGGGTACGCAAAAACAAAGCTGCCCGTGCATGGGTCGGGATTGGGGCAAACGCTTTTCTGTAAAAGTTGTCTTAATGAAAATGACTGTGTCATTTACATTTATATATGTATCAGTAACGTATACGTACATATATTGAACGAATCGGGTAATTTAGTAAGCTGTTAGAACTTTTAAAATGTCAAAATATAAAGGAACTAGTTCCATTTGAATTAGTGCGCAAATGTAATTGACAATATGACAGCACGATTTTCTGGAATGGGTCCAGTGTTAAGGTTATTTCTCACAATGTCTTGGGTAAACGTCTAAAGTTTGGGACTAACATACACATTACTTACGTTAAAAAGTAAGCCCCAAGTGAAATGATTGCAAAGATTGCGCTGCAAGAGAGATTGAAACAGGAATAAATAAAGTTGATGTGCTTCAAATTTCGTATCTTCAGACATATGGATTTATAAATATTTAAGGCATAATACTAAAAATTCGAAATCCAAAACCACTTTCCACAGATCGTAAAGCTTATATTAATGCACGAATGCAACATACATATAGACAAATATATGCACATATGACCCAACAGACAGGCATATTCATAAAATAAATAAATAAATTGCATAACTTAGCAAATGAAAACTAAACGAGAAGCCAGAACACAACAACATATGTAGCTAGCTATGTGCATACATCTGTATTTATACAAGATCAAGTAGAGCGGATTTCGACTAAAAATAGCTCAAACAGACCAAAAAACAAAAAACAAATACAGATAAAAACTAAGAGCTTCTATATCATGGGGTTTTGTTGATTTGCGCTTAGCGTAAAAAAAAGCTCCCGCCAGGGAAACAGTGGGAGCGAGGTCAGACGACGGCGATCGCAGTCAGTGCGTAGTGCGCCCGGGGGGGGTGGGGGCGAGCAGACCATTTGCACGCGACCTAAAAACAAACCAACAGAAAAAAATGAGGTCGTGGCCATCCACGCGTCGCTATGGCGGCGGAGACAAGAGTCAGGCCGAGCAGCTGACGCTGACGCTGACGTCGACGGTGACGCGCACTTATCAGCTCTTTGTATGTGTTTGTAAGTATGTTTGCAATCAAGAGAGCCGCCAGAGAGAAACGACAGCACATAAGAAGGAAAACGTATCGCGATAACAAACAGAGAGTGCGCGACTAGGAAATACCCTCAAAATTTATACTTACATTTATTAAGTATAGTCACAGATGGGGATGGGGCACATGCAAAATATGTATGCATCTTCATAATTACGAAGATTCTTCTGGCTGTTACACATATTTGTGTTTGCAAATGCTCATTATACCCTATTAAAACCATATTTCAACTGCACAGGGTATAGCAACAGCAAAGCTAATAATTAGCTCACACACACAGACGTACAATCATACGTAAACGGGAGACGCTTCTAACGGAAACGAAACGGGAGAGTTGTTTGTTTTCAGCTAATTCTTCGCTTTGCCTTCGTCATCATGACTATACACACAGACATGTGTGTCTGTGAATGTACATATGTGTATGTATGTAGATTGTACGTTTACGTTCTACACATACATAGGTATTTTAATGTGTAATGTGTATATATTTAATTTGCATAAATTTATAGCAAACAGAATATGTATGTATACTTTTTAACAGATGACACGTGTTGTTTATGGACTTTTGAATGGTAAACAAAAACAATTTCTGCTAAAAATTAGTCATCGCGTTTGAAGTTCATAAAAGTTCGATCAGTCGGACCAAACACACTCGAGTGCAGATCAATGAACCATGATTAATACATATATATGTACATATATACAAGCGATAAGTTTTTTGCTTCAAATTTAAGGTATCTCTTTTTCACACCTTTCCCGGCTGTGGAAAGTTTCGATTTATCTATCAAGTTATATTTAACACAAATAATTGAAAATAAGACATAAAGTCCATAAAATTAGGAAATAAATGTTGGAATTGGCATTTTGGACCGTGGTGTGACGCCTAAAATAAAAAAATAAACTAGAGTTCATACAACCTTTGACCAGGATGTTTCATAAGAGAGGGATGAATTCCGCGAAATTAATAAATTATAAAATAAATATAATAAATAAAATCATCTCGTATAACCCTTTTTCCGCCAATTTACCACGCCTGCGGGTGGAATTTTTTAAATCGATGATTTTCTCAATGATTGAAAATCGAAAAAGAAACATAAAACGACCTTTTGATTTTATCAACCCGAAACTTCAGTCATCAAATCTATGTCACAAAGTTCAAAGCAGGGTTAGATTTTCGGAAAAAATATGAAACATCTCTCAAAGTATGATTTTGAGGCTGATCGAACGGTAATCAAAAAAGTTTTATTAGATGAGATGCCTTAAACTTATTTTCAAAGCCCTGTTCAAGTTCATTTGTGATTTTTGCAAAAAAAAAAGGGGCCCAATGATTGTTCCAAAGTTCTAAGAACGATGACTAAACTAAGCAGAAAACGTTGATTCCAACTCTTACACTCGAGTACAGGGTATCTGACAAAAGGGCACACCCTTTACTAAAACTCTTGTTACATCAAGCGGTTGCTTTGATCATGTTTATACATTGATGCACATGCACATGTACATCTGTAGATAATACACAAACACTACAATAGCAGCGACGTGCAACAATTTGTTTATTTGCAACTGTTCATCAGTGGGGTATAAAACGTTATTGTGATAATGTACAGTTAGCGATAAGATACAAACTCAATACACGTGCCCAATTGCTGTTGCACTAGAACACATATACAATTGGGTCCAGCTCCAAAAAGTTGGTTAGTGCAAAATCCAACAACCTTTTCGAAATTCAGTGCCAGAAACTTTCAAGATTATTTTCAACTTTCAAAAAAAACTCTCGGTCGAGTGCAGCTACAACCGATAAAACAGTCTATCACTAACTACACAAACGAATGAGAGGAATGCAATTAGTTGAAATGCAAGCGTACACTCACACACACACACACACACACATACACAAATTAGTCTAAATTGGTTTTGAGTATGTCAAGAAAAATGTGCCCTCATCGAAAACAAATGTGCGCCCACAAAAAATATTGCCTGTGATGCGTGCCTCTGTTGATAAGATATGTAGATAATGCGTGCCAAGCAAATATTGCTGCTGACTTATACTATGACTCGCTCAGTGCGTTAGTATTATTGCATGCGTGTATGCATGTATGTATGTATGTATATATGCATGTGTGTATGTATATATATGCATGTATGTATGTATATATGCATGTATGTATGTGTGTGTGTTAGGGTGTATGTATGTATGTATATGTGCGTGTGTATGTATGTATGTATGTACATTAATGTATGCATGTATGTATGTATGTACATTAATGTATGCATGTCTGTATGAATGTACATTAATATATGTATGTATGTACAGATGTACATAAATGTATGTGCGGTGAGTCATCCAGTGAGAGCGCAAAATTTTTTAATCACAAACTGCATTTATTTACATTCATGCTTATGTATGAGCATGTAAATAAATGGCAAATATAGGACTGTGAAATTTAAATCGACCAAAATTTTACAAACTTCTTTGTAAGCGTAAATATGTACTTGGCCTTTCAGTCACACTGATGTAAAGAGTGTGTTTCAGCCACGTCCTTCGTGACAAAGAAAAAAGCAAGAGAACTCTTTTTTTATGTTGCTTTGGCAAGGAAAAACTGTTGGTATTGTAAGGAAAGTTTGAATTTCCTACACTTTGCAAAGTGTCAAAAAACATAGAAACAACAACACACTTGTCAGCTCAGTACAAATAAATAGTACATACGCACAAATATTTAAGTGCTAATAAAATGAGAAGGTTACAGTTTGCTGTTGACTCGGTGGTATGTACGTTTATACATTGCAGTTGTGTATTTTGTCTACTACTATTTTAACAGTCTTTGGCTTTCATTTTCTTCGCTTGAACTGAGATTTATTTTTGTTTTACGCGACATGGCAACGTCTGTTCTATGACATTGCATATAATGACACACGCAAACACAATCACACATTCTACGGACACGCTTGTGTGCGCGCGTGAGAGTGAGAGGGCATGAATACGGTCGACGAGTGGTGAGCTCAGACTGCGCTCATGTTGAAATTTAGCTGTTAATTGTGGTGAATAAGCGCGTGTGAGTGGTACGACAACGTAGGCGAAAATTAAACAAATTTTTTTCATCAGAAATGCTTAAGTAATGCACTTACTTTCTTGTACTATTTGTAGTTATTGCAAATTGCTAAGCATTTTAAACAAAAACGCCAGTTATGTTTGAATCACAGTTGTGAGAAATTAATTTTTTTTGATTGAAGGTTGATTTTTTTTTTCTTTTTTCACATATACGAATTTGTAAAAATTTCTGATAAATTATAAGCTTTTCATGAGAAATTGCACAAACAGGGGCAAAAACAAATTATATATGTATGTATGTATATCACAAATTACGGTTAACTTTCTTTTTATTTGAAATAAACTTAAATATTCTTTCACACAACGTACACGACGGCGAGGTTAGCAGCGAAGCTTGCACGGATTTAACAGTCGCATTTAATTTGCGCTCGACGATTATTTGTAACAAAAATTGTAAGATTATTTACAAATTATGCCAAATCAACACGGCGCGCACGCACACACAGACACAAAGCTAGCCAGCAGACGAAGCAGCAGAGACACAGCGCGTGTATTGTATTGTGGATGACAGTTGTAGTTGTAGCAAAACCCAACGTGGATTTGATCCTCCAAACTCGATGTGAAGTCTCCAAGGTTCAACGCACGAATGAAACGGCAAAGCAAAACGCAAAACAGTCGAACAAAAATGAATTTGAGTATGTTATACTCAAAGTGCAATGTTGTTACCTCAACACAATCTGTTAACACAAAAGTGACTTGTCACAGGCAATTTTAATCTTTTCTTTTAATGCGTATCAAAGCTTTGTGAATATTTGTATTTAACAAAATATGTACAGGAATATTTGAATAAAAGTGCACACCTTAAGAAATAAACTACAGATTAAAGTTCTAGTAAGTTATTTAACAGTTAAACTTAACAGCGAGTTGAGTAGTGTAACATTGAGACACCAGACGCATATATATGTGCATATATAAGTACATATATGTATGCTTAGACGGAAGTGTGAGCAAAATAATAAAGGCAAATGTGTGCGTGAAATAGAGAGAATTTGGCTAGTGTGGTGAAAAAAACACAAGGAAATATTCTGTGCTTGTGTGTTCGTACGTACATGTACGTACGTATACATATGTGGCATATATTAGTGACAAAACACCAATATACATACATGCATAAACATTTTTTCATGTTAAACTTAAGTAGTTAAATAACAACCTATGCAAAAATAAAAAAAATAATCCACTTATGAAGAAACCAACATTAAAAGTCACTGTAAAGTCACAATTTATATTTTAGACCAATAAATATGCGAGAGTATTTGCAAAATATTGAGAAATAACTATGGAAGAACAACAAATAAACATGTACTTAATGTGTGCTAAATGTTTTCTTCTCTTTTTATTTTTTATTAAATTATATGTAAACAATGTAATAACCTGTTAAACATAGCGTTGTACCTGTTTCTAAATGTAATACGTATGAATGCATGTATGTATGTACACACATATAAAAATTAGAAAGAGCATTTTTAGGGTGACGCAAATTGAACACCCTTAATATTCGACATTATTATCATCCAATTGAGACTGAATATTTATGTAGTAAATCTTACTATTCTTGCGAGAAAAAAAACTTTGGATATACATACATACAAGAGTTCGATAGATGATCAACACACATCTCGGAACCTGAAAGCTAAAATGCCTAATTTTTAAAATATATTTACTATAAGTATAATGCGTGTACATTAAGGCGAGAAACGGTTTTAGCTAGCTTGAAAATGTGAATTTTCCTTTGATATGCTTTTATTTTATTTTTAAAGCTATGCAAACATAATTAACTAACTTGTAGCTATATTACTTTTTAATAATTTTATTATCATAATTGAAATTTTAAATTAAAGAAATATGGAAGACGTACATTACTTACGAGCTATAAGCAATATTTTTATAATTCGTTTTAATATACATATGTATACATATAAAATAAAGTTCGATCTATGTAATTTTAAATCTTCATAAATTTATATGTAACAAAAGATATGTATGTGTCACGACGTAACATACTTGATGAAAAAATTATATTACTAATTTAAAGAGTATCACGATTGTAACAAGTAACAGACCTTTACATTTATACACTCAAAGTATGTGCATGTACATATGTGTGTGTTTATGTCGATCCACCACATTCAGAGACCAATGCAGTGCATGAAAGGGAGAGACTAACATTCAATAGTTGAACTGTTGTTATGTACGTTATTTCTATTATTTTGATATATGATTTAACAAACGTAAAGTGTGCCTAATAATTTTATATTTATACACAGTCAACCTATTGTTATTTAAAAATTAAAATTCAGCGGCCACACAATTCCGACGACGCCATGTTGTAGCCCCACGTAAACTGTGCGAGAGAGTAAGGGTGAGAGCTATTGAGAGCAGTTGCTGTTATTGTCATGTTGTTGGCATTGCCATTGTGTTTTTGTTGCTGCGTCATCAATGCAAACTGCGCACTTTTATTAAATATGTATGATGTTTAATTCAATATCTACGTATTTCATAAAATACATACATATATACGAAGTTTTTTAGCAGGAAATAACAAAAAATTCGTGTCTGTTGTTGCTCTTTTTTATTACGAGCTCTCATATAATATTGTACCCGTTGCGAAGGAGTGGTGAATTTCTCTAGACAGGTTAACATTTTTGATGGCTGCAATTTGTATTTCGTTTTTGGCGTTTGTATTTACGTATACCTTTGTACATTCTTATTCATTAGGTTAAAACCAAGATTCGTTTTCTGCTTAACAGTAATTGAGTAATTGCATCGAAATAATTATAAGACATATGTTTGCTGCGCATACATACATACATATATATACATACGTATATACATTTTTATACGTATTCATACATATACATATGTATATATATATACATATACATATATTAATAGACATACGTACAGATATATTTCAATTTTACGCAGACACGCATCGATGTTCAGACAATAGACATACCTATATACATATGTATGCTTTAATGTTTGAAGTTTAAGCAATCAAGCATTAAACATCATATACATATATAGTATATAGGTACATATGTATGTATATTATTCGATTATTATGGATGTAAGAATAAACCAAGTAGATTTAGCATGTACATACAAAGATGCATACATATGTAAGACTACCAACAGCAGGCAGCAGCTTTTCTGTAGAAAACGAAAATAATTTCCTGTTTCATATGCGCATGTTGTCTGTAAGTATTTTATGTACATACATACATACATATGTACATCCGAATGGATAAGCACAACAGCTAAGGCCGAAGCATGAAGTGAGAGGGAGTTGGGAAACGCAGCACCTGATTTCGTCAGTTTTAAGATTACACCGATACAAAAAAAACAAAACATTGTTTTATTGAGCAAAGTCAAAATATAGCAATAACAACAATTAGTCACCAACAGCGCAGAAAGCAGCCGTGGTGAAAAACTCGCTTGCCACCATTTAACAGCAAATGAGAGCAACACACACTCAAAAACACGAAACATAGACAACTAAATAAACTGGTGTGCATGTATGTATGTATGTGTGCCTTGCTGTTGCTGCCACAGCTTGTGGGGGTGTTTTACAGAGGTGAACGACGCGCCCCACGCACAACAACAACAGACAAAGCAATCTAAGAGAGGGTCTGACATCTGAACAGCGTTGAAGTTGCGTTGCATTTTATACATCGTATCTGTCTGGCAGGCATGATACAAGCGAACCACATTACTGCTTCAATGGAAATGCGCAGTTACTGTCCGAGCACAAAGCAAATGCGGCGCTGCGTAGAAGACCGATGGGAGAAACCAAATTAAGGCAAGGTTGATAAACGTGTCGGGAACGAAATTGAGCGCTATGTTAGCAATAGCACTGAGTGCATTCTCTTACCCGATTCTGCTTTGGGGCATTCAACTTGGACAGGTGCGAGACGCGTAGTCAGTAATATGTACCGTTGCAGCGATCAACAGCTGCGAGAGATAAACGAGTGCCGAATGGAGGGAGAGCAGCAGCAGACATATCTAGCATGACTTGACAACGACGAGCAATATATCAAAATGCGAGTTTTGCGAAATTGCGTAGTGAGAGAAACAAAAGCAATCATATGTACATGTTTTGTATACATGTATGCACATACATATGTATTTGTTCCATGTATATGTATGTATTTATACTGTCCATACTTACATACATACATACATATGTATGCATGCGTATGCATTGAATCGGCGTTAAAATGCAAGCGAAAGTTAGCTGCAGCAAGCACTGCTAGCACCTTTTGTTCCCTGGTTGGGCTTTTACCAAAACTCTAATTTATTTTATTTATTAACATATTTTTTTGGAAATAAAAATTCAGGCGGATAGAAAGCAACGGTTTGTATTTTAAATAAAAAATATCCCAGTTCGTGTGTGGTATTAGTTGATAAAGATCGTTGGAGTTCATGTGTTCATGTGGGGTTAGCTGCGGGCGAGTGCCTTGCAATTGCCCCAATTTCCTGTACAATAATCATTATTTTGATTTTTGATGAGCAAAAGCTGCTTGCTAGGCTGGAAAAGGTATTTCTGTTTACGGTGTGACCAAGCATTTTAAAGATACCATTTTATTTCCCGAAGCCATTTTAAAAGGTATTAAGGTTGCGCAAATATATGCAACACACAAAGTATGATTTTGTTTAAAATAATCTATAATACGCCCCGGTCTTAAGCATATAAATTAGCATTTAATTACTAGTCAGCCAATGCGACACAAAGCTTCTAGTATGTATATACCATATACCATATCCCTTAAATCAAATACTATAAATTCCAATTGGAGCAACGCCCAAAATGGCACGACATAATTTCAGACTATTATTATTTTGCGGGTATACGAATATTATACGGCACAATAAGATCTCCAGGAAATGTTATCAAGATTGATAAGGACAATAATCATTATTGTTATTGAAGAAAACGTTAGAATATTTGGAATATTTTTTAATTCGATCATTTATTTTGAATTGCGATTTTGTTGTGCTGTGCTGTGTGATGTGTTAGTACAGTTATTTTTTTCCAATAAGAAATAAAAAAAATTTTAAGACATTTTTAGAAAAAAGTGTAATGCTTGAGCATCTGGTTTTTGCAGAAGGTTCAGGATAAACCCTAGTCGGGTGCACCCGAGTACAGCACCTTAATTTGTTTTCTAAGTAAATTCAGGGGACAAACTTGTAAAACTTATTTCCGATTTAAAAGCTCAACAATTTTCGAAATATTTTACACCTTTATCAAAAAGCATCCAAACATTTCCCGTTGTGGAAAATTGAATTATGATAAGTCGTTAATGACAAAGCCGAGTCAGGAAAAACACATTTATGCACATAGATGATAATTGAAACATTTTTGATTACACAAGTAACTAAAGATAAACATATTTTTTAATTGTTTCCTTTAAACAGGCGATTAAATTGGCAGAAAAATGTAGAAATTATCCAAAATGCGTATAAAAATTGTATGATTGCAGCATATTAATTCGCATTCAATTCATTATTGTTATAAATGACGATTGCTGTGTATACAAATATGACATCTAAACACATATTTCGATAGATCTCATTAACAACAAGATTGTTTAAATAAACATAATTACATATACATATATGTATGTAAATGGACGGAATGAGACTTAATTATAAATACTATGCATTCAGTAAAAAAGTTTGCACTTGCAATTCGTTTTTGATATGTACTAGACATTGTTTAAACACATTTAAGGCACTAAACTGGTGAGTGTGGAACGTTGGCCTTGTGTAACACTCCGCCGGACGGTATTGTTGTGCTTGGAATGCTAGTAGCACTTTGTCTAGCCCACTGGCATTGTAGACACAGTACTGTGGGGGGTTGTAGGACGCGAGCCAGCCAGAGAATTGGCTGTGGATGCGTGCAGCGAGGCCATGGTGCCCATCTGAAAGGACACAGTTAAACAGTTAGCTCTTATGATATTAGACGACGATTAACGGCAAGTAACTTACACGTAAGTGCGCCAGATCTTCCAGCTTTGTAAGATCCACTAGTTCTAGAAACAGCGAATACACAACGGCCCAGCCATAGATGGAAACCAGACAAAAGATGCTCCAAAGCAGTACCATTATGATATTGTAGGCAAAGTACAAATCATTAACAATGGCAAAAAATATTAGAGCCAAAGCGCGCCAAACGGTGAAGATGGCAAAGGTCCACAGCCAGGGCAGCACCTTTCTTTCGTATTCCTATGAAAAGAGAACATTTTAATATTTCAAATAATAAGAAAATAGTTTAGGAAGTCTGCTGCGAATTATTCGATTAAAAATTCAGATATAATGTTATAAGATTGGATGCTTTGTTACCCTTTTGCTCAGTAAGCGTTTCTGTGCTCCAAGTCTATTTTGCTTTAGGGCATGAGTGAAATGAGAGTGAAATGTTTGCCAAACCAATCCCAACTAAATATTAAGCTTACCTTACGCAAGGCGACGCACAGTAAGATGCTGGTGACAAAGTTGATGAGCGCCATAATAAGCGAGAATAAAGCAAATACAATTAGCATGTTGCGTACTAGAAAACATTCGGAACATATGGTTAAGTGGCTGCAATTAATTCAATGATAGGGTGCCATATATATACCGTGCTTGTTCCCAACATACACAAACTCGTACGATATGATGTAGTAGCCATAATGGGTGGATCCTGGAGCAGCCATGGCATAACAATAGATATCAAAGATGGTAGTGCCAATGGTAAAGAGTGAGAGAAACTGCGGGGGCAAAGAAATAGTCAATTCGCTGTCATAACTAAGCTAATCATCGCACAAACTTACTACAGCAAATAGGCCTATAAGCATCGCACCTTTCTGTATGTCAATGTACTGATTGTTCTTCAGGAGGGGCCTCTGGTACCAGGGTATGCGTACGCTTCGCGTGGAACGCGACATTTTCGAATGTAGGTTTGTAGAGGATCTGTAGGGATACACATTTCATTGTTACATATTCAAATAAATAACTATATAGACATATATCGATCCTGGTGACAAATTCGTATTGCATACCTGCCCGTCGCATGGGAGTACATCGAGGGATTCGATCGGTAGGTTGAGGGCGTTTTACGGCCGTAATTCATTTTAAAACCTTTTTTGTGACTTCACGCGCTGCAGGCGAAAGGAAATATGCTAAAGCATTCACTACACACGGATAGCTGAAAATTAAAGAATATAAGCTGTGATCACATTTTCGATGCTACGGGCGTGTCTGATTAATTTGTTGTTTTGGGTGTGTCAATTTCCAAGCTGAAACCCAGCTTGAACGTGTTGGGTTGACGAGCTAGTGTTAGTGTTAATAAATCTTAACCCTTCAGTAGCAATTATGTTTGATGTCGTATGCATCATTATACACTTATAATAGGTTTTCCGCGTTTTTAATTCAGACTATTCATTTATTTACCTGTAAGAAAATCAAATTTAGTTGCTTTGCTACGCATCAACAACAAACACACTGAATCACAAAAGTGCTGCCCATTCGCTGGCACAGCGTTGCTTTGCTGAACGCCGTGGAACGGTGGCGCAACTGTTGCGTATCAAGTGCGTCGATTGCTATAACAATCGACAGCCGTTCGCATCAGCTGAGTGTAGATTTTTACTGTGACTGCCATATATATTGTTATGGTATTTCCAAAAGCTAACGCAAATGCCTAAAACACACATAGTCTTAAACTTTTCATGTTAATTAATCAATGGCCTTATAAATGTTGAAACATGTCACTGCCGCGAATAACGGACTATGAAATATTGGAGAAACTTGGAGTGGGCAGCTATGCATCTGTCTACAAGGCCCGCCATAAAGTGAGTTCTTCAATCCAATTATTCTGCGAAATCAGTTATCTAAAACACATTCACTCGTATATTCTCATAGAAGGAACGCACTTATCATGCCATCAAATACGTGGAAATGTCTACTTTATCTCAGAGCTCACGCGACAATTTAATAACGGAAATTCGCCTGCTGCGAGATCTGAAGCACAAATACATTGTGACGCTTCAGGACTTTTTCTGGGATGACAAGTGAGTTCCAGTAAAATATGATGAGTGTATGACAGATTCTACTTGATAAGGAAAACAACTATTATTTTTTAAATAATATAATTGTATCTCTTCTTCGTCCACTTAAGGAACATTTACATTGTATTGGAATATTGTAATGCTGGCAATTTATCTGCCTTCATACGCACCAAGAAAGCGCTTCCAGAATCAACATGTCGATATTTTTTGCGCCAATTAGCTGCTGCGGTTCAATATATGCGGGCCAACGACATTTCACATTTTGATCTGAAACCACAGAATTTACTCCTCACACGCAGCTCTAATAATGTCTCTCTAAAGGTTGCGGATTTTGGGTATGTACTTGAAAAAAATGACGCCAGTGATCCTTTAATCGTTTGCGTTTTATAGATTTGCGCAACACCTGAAACTAGGTGAAATCAATCAGCAGCTAAAAGGCTCGCCGCTCTACATGGCTCCGGAGATTGTGAGAAACCATCAGTACGATGCCAAGGCCGATCTCTGGAGCGTTGGGGTAATACTGTATGAATGCCTGTTCGGAAAAGCGCCCTATAGCTCGCGCACTATTGAGGAGCTGTTACTGCGCATTCGCAAGGCCGAGCCAATTGTGCTGCCACCAAATGCGCGTATCAGCAATGAATGCCACGATTTGTTGCGTCGTCTTCTGGCTCACGAGCCGGCGCAGCGCATCTCTTTTACGGATTTCTTTGCACATCCCTTCTTAGATCTCAAAACATTTCCCTCGGAGCAGACACTGAAAAAGGCCATTGACTTGGTGACTCGGGCGGTGGAGCATGATGAGAAACGTAGTTATAAGGAGGCTTACTATTTGTACTGCAGCGCATTACAATATTTTGTGCCGCTCATCACCGAAGAATCGGATGCCAGCCGGCGGCAGGAGCTACGCAATCGGGCTTTAGCTTACATGAAGCGTGCGGAGGAGATAAAAAATGTTATCATTGAGGATGAATACAAGCTGCTGGCTCAACGGCAACAGACACCAGTATCGCAACGCTCTGAAAAAAGCACCCCTGCTACAACTGCTGAAGCTACGATTCAAGCACAGCCAAGCACGTCGCGCATGATGGAAATGCTTGAGCCGGATGCGCGCTACAAACAGCTTTGTATGACATTTCACTTTATTCTGGTTCCAGTTAACCTGAAAACCACATTTGACTCTATTACAAAGTTCATTTGACGAGTTTTCTCTAAGTTTGTTCAAATTTGCGAATGGCTTGCTTTCGATTTTTTTTGTTACCAAACTGAAGAAGTTTAACAGCAATAGGAAGAACACATATTGCGGAAATTATAAGATATTTTTGTAAAGCTTATAATTCAATAATTTAACATATTTTTGAGAATTATCTCTGCTTACGGGCGGAGTGTAGTGTTTGACACGGAGTGTAATGTTTAATCAATACGGAGACTTAATTTTAGTATATACAAATTATTGTTAGATTATACATATATATAATAATAATTATTTAATATTTACCTTTACCAATTGTAAGTATCTTATATTAATATTGAATGTCTTTTAGTTACTCTATCGAGCTCGAGTCCTGCTATGAAGACAGGCCTGGAAATTGGGCGGCAGGGCGAGCTGTATCTGTACGAGCGCAAGCTGGACGCCGCCTTGGAATCGTATACCTCTGCTTTGGGTATTCTGGTACCATTTGTGAACAACGAGCCAAGGGGCGAGCGACGAAATCTGCTGCTGCAACAAGTAAGTTCCGGGATTGTTTCCGTATAACGTATGTTGGTTGGTAGCATGTACTTTTCATTTCAGCTGGAGTTCTGGATCAAGGAGGCCGAGAGCATTAAAAGTATATTGAGCGCCAAACATTTGGATGAAGAGGAACAAAAGATGTCCACGGTACGCAGCTGCAGTATACAGTAGAAATTTGATGGCGCTGGTGCGCATATGTTGGAGTATTTTTGTAGTCCGATGCTAGCATCGCTTAGTAAAGTAGTGTAGTTACGTATTATATAGAGCATAGCTACAAATGTATCTAGATCTGGCCTAGATAATATGGCTGCTTAAGTTTTGTGTCTTGTTTGACTCACATTTTCCGATACAAAGATCGTTTGCTAAAATCTGTTAGTTCTTCATGTATACTTACTTTATTTAAAATAATCTTTGGTTAAAAGCAGAACGTTGGTTGCGGGGCTCAAATACCTTCGGGACGTTGTAACCTGCTTATAATTGGAGTTATTATAAATTATTTGTGACTAAAATGTATAGTATAAATCAAATTATTTTAAGCACTATCTGCACAGTTTCACATTCCAGCAATATTACCAAGTTTTCTCTGGGACGTCAAGCCACACGTTTATTTGTTTTTCTGCATTGTGATTACCTTAATTAAAATGGTTTAGTCCAAGATTCACATTAAATACATACACAAATATTGAGAAACTAATTATTTGACTTGATTTATTCTGTATATAGAGAATATATAAAAACTTAATACTGGCCGCTAGTATATAATAAAATTAAGGAGACTCTGTTCGATACGTTGTGGATAGATTATCTTATAGGCCAAAGATAGTTTCTATATACTTTATAATAATTGGAAATAAAACGTTTAAAAAACCCAATATTCATCCTAATCTTGGAATAAAACCCAGAGGCCAGGTGAATCTGGCTCTTTCATATTTATTGCCCACCTATCGCTGGCCATAAATATCCGGCCTATCGCCAGTGCCAACTCAAAGGGGTCGTGCCTATAAAAGGCGCTGCTCGAAGCGCCGTGCAACTGGAGTCTACTCGAGATACCGTCTACTCAACAATATGCTTTCGTCGAGACTAAACATATTCGCACTCCTGTTGCTCGCAATCGCCAATGCCAGCGTCTACGCTGCACCTCCGATGGGTCGGGTGGTCAATGGCACGGATGCCACCGTGGAGATATATCCGTTTGTGGTGAGCTCGTCGATTCATAGGTGCATACATCTATATCATGTACGATTATAATGTGCTTCCCAGATTTCGTTGCGCGGTGCCAGTGGCTCCCATTCTTGCGGCGGCTCCATAGTTTCCAATCAATTTGTGCTGACAGCGGCTCATTGCACCGATGGACGCAAAGCCGAGCAGATCTCAGTACAGTACGGTGTGACCAATATCGGGGCCAGCGGACCCAACGTGGTGGCTGTCAAGCGGATCATTCAGCACGAGCTTTACAACCCAAGCAACCACTATGCCAATGATATTTCCCTGCTCCAGGTGGCGGAGCCTTTCAAGTTCGACTACAAAACCGTTGCCCCTGTGCAGCTGCCCGCGCTTAACTTTGCCACGCCCCAGTTGGAGTCCGGCGGTGAGGGGACACTTGTTGGTTGGGGCCTGAATGCGGTAGGAGTTTTTTATTTATCGGATTCCATTAGTCAGAAAGGTGAACATATATTTTGTCTTATCGTCTAGACTGGCGGTAGCATACAGACTACCTTGCAGCAGGTACAGCTGAAGGTATATTCTGACGAGGAGTGCGTGGCGCGTCACCAAGGATCCACAGATCCCCGCTACCACATTTGCGGTGGTGTCGATGAGGGTGGAAAGGGCCAATGCAGTGGCGATTCTGGCGGCCCCCTCTTGTACGACGGCCAGCAGGTGGGCATTGTGTCCTGGAGTATCAAGCCTTGCACGGTGGCACCTTATCCTGGTGTTTACTGCAAGGTTGCCAACTATGTCGATTGGATCCAAAAGAACCAAATAATATTGGCTTAGGCTCTCAAAAACAACCCAATAAGAATCGCAAATTATTTATCAGTCTTCCTCTTTGTACCCGCACCTCGTGCGCTAATCCCGTAGTCAAGACTTGCTATCGCCCTGTGCTTATCGATGGCTGTCGTGCTCAATAAATCAATGTATTAAAAACATTAAACTTTAAAGTCATCTTTAATCGTTCGTTTCAATCGCACTGAGAAAAATTAGCCCTACACTTAATTGTAGATTTTGTACTATAGTACTTAATCTTCGCAAAAAAAGTTCAATTGGAATTGGGTAAATGCCGAAACATGCCCAGATATATTTCGATTACTCCCACATATACCTTGAACCCGATGAATATGGGTAAAAGAGTATAATAGAGGTAAATATTTAGGATCCCATAAAATGTATGCGTATCCTTGTTCAGCATCAGAAGCCGAGTCGATCCAGCAATATCTGCTTTCTGTTTGTCTGTCCGTACGTAGAAACGCTTCGATCTCAGATTGATATCGATCGATTTCAAGCAATCGATAAAATTCGATATCGAAATACGGTTTTTTGCCCATATTTCCTAGGTTTTATGATTTATTTTACATTTGTCTTCTCGTATAGTATGCACAGATTTGGTATTTTTAATTTAATGGGTATTTGATGTAATGATCCTCATTTCTTCTTGTGGCACGAACAGATCAGATTTTTTGCTATAACTGATTTTTTGCCTACGCCTTTTGGGGAGGTGTAAAATCGAAAAGGTCACTTTTAATAAATCGAATTTGACAATTTTCTTAATACAAAATTCGGTGAGCCAAGGTCCAAACCAATACCTAGGTGCAAGGACATGAACCAGCATGTTCACAAACCGAACCTTAATGTTCTTTAAATCCGTGAACCGAAATACAACTATTTAAATATTTTATTTATTTGCAACCTTGTCTTAATAATTATTTCTTCAATGTAATTACATTTTGATGCTTACACGTTTCATATTTGAAGTCCGAAAACTTTATAACTAACAAAGGTTTGAAACTTAGTCGAAAACGCCATTGACCTCAAACTGTAAGCCAAGACCGTCACCCAGTGGTGAACTGAAAAGATGCTTTTATGGCAATTGTATTTACCATGCCATTACAAATTTATGGTCAGCTATGTTCGACGTACAACATGCGATATGTTGGAAACATGCCAAAATTTTAACATTTGTACATGTACCCAATATGCATACTGCTTGCATCTTGATTATTTTACTCGTTCGATCTAAACCCAAATCGACAAAAACAATGTTTTGTTTTGTTAGAGGAGCTGACAAATTTAGTGTCAGGATCCTTGAGCACTTAAAATGTTGGTTTTAACTTATAAAAATTCATAAATGGTTTAAAATTACTTTTCACCCTTACAAAATGACCTTTATATATTCCAAGAATTAGCATAGAGTAGTAAGTCTTATAACATTTATCATGTCAAAGGCAGAGAGGTATGTTTTGTAGTTTTAATGCAGATTTACTTAGTACGATACTAAATTTTGAGCCCCAAAATATTCAATCTCCGAACCAAACCACTACAAACCATCACAAGCCATCATACCATCAAACCAGCAAAACAGCGAATAAGACAGCTTATGCCGAATTGCACGACTATTCGAATGTCCGTTGCGCAGAATGTTCGACGAACATTTTGTTGCTGCAGTCGACGAATTCTGTTCAAACGCGACGCACGTGTTAAGCGGACGAAGCAGCTTTTAGCAAATATTCAAAGTAGGTTTCAGCTGTATCTTTGCTGAGTGCGGCACATGCAGGTGTTTACACTACTTAACCAAACTGAGATTCAGGACCGTGAAAGACACTGCAGCAAAATATATGTTTTAAGATTTCGCTAATTATGATGTTCGATAATGTGGAGCGTATAATTAGAAAGGCCAACCATCGCCCCTCATGGAATTCAAAATCAGGGCGCGCACTAATCCGTTTAATTAAAAATAATTTGTTAATTGGCTGTATGAGTAGCAGCAGTAGCAGAGCTGCCGCGTATGCGTGATATTCGTCAGCAATTAAACTGGCTGCAGTTGAAAGCGTTGCCACTTCTGTGCAAGGAGCACAAAATTTCACCAACTGGCCCACTTTTGCATTTGTCGAATAGACGAAAGGCCTAAAAGTATGCAACAAAAGGCACATAAAGTCGGTGCACAACATTCTGGCAAATCGAGCTCAATTTTGTGTAAATACTTAAAGCAGCACATTCAAGGCCATAACACGTGTGCAGAGGAAAGTTCAAACAACGTTCAGTTAAAACAAAAGCGATTTGAACGCATTTTTTTTTTGAGAAATTTCTTTATGGACGCGGCCTGAATGTTTGCGACCTGGTCACGAATGCCGCAGCATCTGGCAGATTGTAGCATGCGACCTAAAGTGTTCAACTTTTTCGAAGTGCTTTCCGTTTTGCCAGCAGCCTAATGCGAACTAGGCATAGATCTTATAGTATAAATTGATGTTAGGTGTACATCAATTGAATAAATCATTTTAATTTGTCGTTTTCGATTTAATAGAACTGCAGAATAAAAGACAACTTTTATAAGGTGTATGTATAAATTGTATGTATCATAGAACATTTGTGACCTTAAGGCAAGTCAAAGCAGGTGAAAATTTAAAATATATAGGCCTATGACACTATCTAGAAATGATGTTTCCATTGGTGGAAAAGTTGTCGAATTCTAGATAAGCGCTTGAATATTCTATTTGGGTCTACGATATAATTGGGGTTATAATTAATTTGTGCAACTAATATTTGCTAACTGCATAGAATACTTTTTTGTTCCATTTTACATAAAGGTTAACAAACATCTTGACCTCTAGTATCATCTGCCAGAAAATAAAAACAAAAAACCAACGGAAAAAACATAAATAAAAGAAAACAAATTAAAATTAAATAACCGCAGACAATAAACGAATAAACGAAAATAGCCCTCGACCAAAGTAAAAAATAGGCGTAAATAGCACATTTGCAATATTTGTGAGTGCGAGTGTCGGCTGTGTTCATCTGCTGTCAAAGGTTAGGACTCATACGAGAATTTTGCACGCTAACTGAAAAGCAATGCCAACGAAGAAGGTCGTGTCATCCAAAGAGTACTCCAAGGCCGGCTGGGCAGCTGTTTCGGCAGTTTCTGGACCTCCATGGGCGGTGCTGCTGTTGGGCGTCATTTTGTTTTGCAGCATCAGCCTTGGGAATGTCGAAGGCCTCAAGTGCCACATGTGCGGCCAGTACAACGAGGGCGTGGGCTCGATAACACCCTGCACGAACTATTCCAAGGAGATTGCGCATCTCTATCTCAAGGAATGCACCAAGAAGAGTGAAAAATTCTGTGTGGTAAGTGGAATAATCCCTGGCTAATACTAAATTGTACACTTCGATTTTCTTTGTATCGGTCGCTGGCTTATCAAGATACTATATTTTTTTTAATGTTATGCATTTATTCAGCGACACGCACTTCCAAAGCCTACCTAAGGGAAAACTGGGCTCAGGGAATCGTCACATTAAATGTTGTTCACTGTCTATAAACGTTATTCAAAAAATGAAATATACTTTGTATACAGAAGATACATTTGTTGATGATATGATAATATATGCACAAAAACAATTACCAAATCGTTTTAAACGAACATTTTATAAAGATCGGATAATAAACACCGAAGCTAAACACAAAAGCAATTCCCACAGCGTAAACTGTAAAACATGTATTCTGTTTTTGTGCATATATGTCTAGAAGTAGGGGTATCCCCTAGACGCGTACTCCCGACTGACTGACTATTGTGTTAGGTGAGCATTAGGTTTGCTAATTGGTTTTGCTTTTTTTATTTTGAATTAAGAAATATTCTTTTTTAAATATTTTTATTTTAATATATAATTACTACATTTTTTATTATCGGAGATGGTAGTTTTGTTAAATCGCATTTGTTAAAATATAATAATATAATAATAATATATAATAATAGTAATAATATAGTACAGTGAGTTTTTTTTTATAACTACAGTTACAGTTAAAAGGGAACATCACATTCCACGCCTTAAAAATTGAGCTAGACTTGTTTTAAGTTTAAGGACATATTTTAAGAAGCGTCTTATGATAAAGAAAAAAACTAGGTCCTTAAATGAATTGCTATTTACCTTGATTAGTTGTCGACCATGTATTATCCCATGTAATATCCTACTTTGGAATCGAATCCGGGCCATTGTTGAAGTTCAATCTAACAATCTAATGAGGGGCATACTAAAACGTGTTTATCGTGTTAAATTTGTTTGTATTACTAATTATTGATAGGTAATTAGATAAAAGCCCTGCAGCCTACACATAGCATAGGCTACTTTTAAACACTTACAGTTTATGCAAATCGCTTGTGCAACGTTTGCGGTCTTCTGGGGAAGCATGTTATTCCATGTACGAATGCCGCAGGGTGCATGTGTGTGGGCGTTCGTTGAATTTACGCATAAATTTGCACACATTGGGCTTCCCCAACCCTCCAGGGTGTCTAACACTTAACGCATCGCACTATGCTGCATTACAGTCAGTGCTGGCGATTTACGAGGCAGACTGCTTGCTTGTTTTAGAAATCATTAAATATTTAAGTTGGGGCTGATATCCGCCCGACACTCTCTAGGAGTAGCCGTGTTCCCATATTTCAACTTGTTCACATCAAATCAAATGATCCAAAAATTCATCGGATTCATTTGTTTGTTCTTTTATTTTGATAACACAAATAATTAAAATATTAATTTGTTTTTCATGGTTTTGTCAACAGCTATGGATCGACTAGGCCTGATGAAAAAGTTTCGGTTTCGAACCCCTAAGAAGACGGAAAGAAAAATTTCTTTTTCTTTGTTTTTTAAATAATTTAGTTGATGTTGCCTTATACGCCATTTGTGTTTCCTTAATTAGTCTACATATTTAGTGTATTTGAGCTATCAGGCGGACGGCCCGTTAATCACTTCCTACTGGTTTAGAAATTATGCCTTCTTGGCTTCCCAGTCAATCTTCTGAGTTTGATCTCAAAAGGTTCCTTTCAGAAGTTCTTAAATCTATGTATAAAACCGTTTGTCCTGACAGACTTACATATTGGTGATCAACGCACGGCCAAAGCCTTCAGAGCTAGAAACCCAAAATTTTCAAAGTAGATACATGCATGGAATTCCGATGGACTTTAACTGGGTGAACTGGGTAAGACAGTTATATCTAAAATGTTGAGACAAATTTGACGGGCAAGGCCTTCTACGTTTGTTTATTTATCAACAGCAACCCTCCTCCTATCGCTGATAATAAGGTTGAAGAGTTTCTGGGAGTTGTTTCGGTCGTTGTTGCTTTTGTTGTTCACGTTGTTGTTGTACTGACAGCTGGACCTGATGCGGCATTGCGGTTGGGCGGCAGCCATTGTGTTTTTGTGGACAAGCTTTTGATTAGTTGTGTGCTAGTTGATGTTGGATGGTTGGCGCCATCTGCTGGGCCCAGCGATGCCCTGCCTTTTATACGCCGAACCCATTAAAAATGGGTAAAAAGGGTATTATGTTTTCTGCAAATTTTTGTTACTGCCAGAAGGAAGTATTTTCGAACACATAAAGTATACATAATCTTTATCAGCATCTATAGTCGAGTCGAAGTCCTCGTCCGTCCGTACTTACTTTTGTTACTTTTGTTTTTTCGTCGATCTTGAAAATTGAGAAAGGTATAAGAGCTAATACAGCAAATTTTTAATTTATGCTTTTGTATAGTTGTCCCCCCCCCTCATAGTTTCCCTCAACGATTTGCGCATCAAACGTCGTTCGTGTGTGCTAGAATTTTTGTAAGGGTAACTCGGCGGTCCTAGGACATTTCCTATCTCCTTTCTTCCAAGTAGAACAATCTTATTTATGATTCACATTTATATTTAAAATGAACAGCAAGATGGCGGATGGAATTTGTTTTTGTCATCAACAGAGCAATGTTTGCATAGCTTACAATTTTCAATAATTAACTAGAGGGCACACGGTCTATCACTTTTTCCCTCCCATGAGTACAATAACGGGCACATATACATGCATACGTGTCATCCTAGTGGGGTCACTGGACAAACAATGGCGCCATTGTTTAAGCCTGTTTCATAGCGGCTCAAGCACGTAATCAAATACAAAAAGAAAACAAAGTAGAGGGTCGAAAAAAAATCCTCAGTGTGTGTATAGCTCTTGACCTCGTGATAGCAAAATGTAGCGCTAGTAAGTAGCAGGAGTGGAAGGGAACAAAGTCAACGTGAGGGCTTGTAATTAATATTATTTTTCTTCAAATTCAAGCTTCGCATAATATTTTGTGATTAGCTCTCTCAGCAAATCCTTCTCGCATGACTCTTTCTACACCATATCCTTTAAAAATGTGAAACAGTGGATGGAGTTTTGTACGAATTTGTTTAAGAGGTAGAAAGAAGTATATCCGATTAGAGCTGTGTTGATCTAGACATATCAGCTATGCCCGTCCGCCCGTATGTATGAACTTCAACTAAACTGAAAAAATATATGTATTCTTATATATATCTCTGCTCCCGTTTCTATTATTGCGAGAAGTAGCGATATTTAAACAAGCGTTTAAATAATAACGCAGAAGCTATAAGGTCTGGAGAGCCCTCTTTTGCTATGCAGGCTCTCGTATATTATCACAGTTCGGCCAAAAAGTTCGTAGGCTAACATAGAAAACATATTTTTTTTGATCATTTTATAATCGCCGTTGGTAACAACTTTTAACACATCTTTCGCATACCCAAATAGTTATTCACGATATGTCCAGCACGTTTCTTTGATATCCTTTAAATAGCCATGCTTAATGCTAGAACTTTGTGCGTTAATATAAAAACATATTGATTAAAGTGATTATCGAAGTTATTTAAGAATGCATTTTCTATAGCTTCATAAAGTTCGCAGCATGTGCACAGAAGGAAGTTCGAATGTTTGTAATGACCGCTTGGTATGGGGTTTAGTTTATCTCGTAGTCGCACACTCCCGACTAGAACCCTCTTACTTGTTTAGTTTATCTAGCTTATACTTTACGTAACAGTTAACCCGCTAAATAACAATGAAAAACATACAAAAACAACTACAATTTTATTGTGCTTTTGGGTTGCTTCGGTTGTCTGCTCACAGGATAAACGAGCGGACATTTTTATGAGTGGTTTGTTTTCTGTGCGAGTTGCTTTAATTTGCCGCATTACATGTATAAAACTGTCGTAAGTACTTACAGCCTTCCAGCCCATACACAAAGGTGGAATTTTGTTTAACTGACCTTGTCCAAAAAGGTCAAGAAGGTTACTATGCCATTTCATTGATACTCAAACTCGAACTTCATCTGCAGGTAGTTTTCCTCAGTATTCTAGAATTTGGGAGCTTTTACCTTGTGAGGCGCTGGTGATCTCGGCATCTTCGCTATAATTAGCCTTTAATAACCTCTGGCGCTTAAGTTTACAGCGAATAGCATACCAGAAAGATTTTTTAGACAGAGATTTGATTTATTGTACCCAGATTAAATACAGATTTAAAATCTACACTTGAAATTATAAGAAAGGATATGCTTAAAATAAAAATATATAATTTATATATATAAATATGAAAATATATTCAACTTGGTGAGCTTGAGTTGGTGGAAAATGCATTTAAGATCTTAAGGTGCTCCTCATAGAATTGTATAACCAACATTGGTATATGGATGTATGCCACCTGGGACTCTACCTGTTCTGGTTGATCCAGGTCCCTAAATTTAATTACAAATGAGATTTTTCCACGGATGTTTGAAGCACACAGTATTTGCTCAGCTTTGTGCCCGTATTCAAAGGCATTGTCAATAATGACTGATGGTTCAATCTTAAGTTTCTTTGCTTTGGCTACATAAATCTCATTTATTTTGAGTTCGGCCTGTCTTTTATTGTTTTTCGTAGCCCGTTGAGATTCGAATTCAGTTATTAATGCCAGACAGTCTAAATTTTTGGAAAGCTCCCAAGTATTATCCTCGTCTGGAAAATCCTGCCACTTCACAAAATATTCCACCTGTCCCATACGGATGCGACGACTAATTATTTTCTCCACAAAATATTCCTTATTCTCATCGAAATCTTCTAAAGAAGATAACTGACTTGAAATTCCCGGGTCCATATTGGACATTTTAAATATATACTAGTTCTATATGAACTTTAAATGAAATGAGTTTTGAATTTATTGTAAAAGTGTCAAACATATAAAATGGTACTCAGATAACCTAATAGTGTGATATTGTTTTCGTGAACTGTATAATTTTGAGCTGCTTGACATTAGCTCATACCATTATTCTAAAACATTGGCGAGAGATTGATTTAAATCTTCCAAAATATTCTGTCGCACTCTAAGCCAAATATCTTCTGTTGCAGCAAGTTTTTGGGTCACAAGAATGACTGCTTTTAATTGGTTTAATGGTAGAGACAGCAACTATATCAATACAATTTTTAATTATATGCATAAGAAAAGTAGCTGACACATGGGGCTTAAGGTGTTAAACCAGGATATGGGTTATTTTTCCGCTGATAGTTGAAACCCCACACAGATAGTTGCGGCTCAATGGCTGTGTGGTTTGTTATGCAAATTTCGCCTTTTTTTATGACGTATCCAGGTTGATTATAACGAGGAGCTGTTTTTGATGTAGGTTTTTCAACCACAATGTGGATACTTTCCGATTAATTTAGGGCATGGCAAAGCCAGTTTGTCGGCTCATTGAGTAAGGCCAAAAAGCGGTGTTATTTATAGTCTGAAATTTATATAACTTACAGACATACATTATATACGCATACAGCCAAGTGTTTGCCAGGGCACCAATAAAACATATTGTGTATATACATAACGAAGTTTTGCAGCGCGGTGCGAATACTTAATGAAAAATGATGCTATTCACAGCACAAGGAAAGGACAGCCAGCGTATTTGTACGAAAGCCCCAACAGGGGAGCAAACGCAGCTGTGCCCAACCAATAAGCTGAGGGCGGGCCAAATGTGCGTGGCACAACATAAGTACTCAAAGTTGGAACATCATTTTTGTATGTTACAAAAGCTACCCGAATGTGCCTAATACATGCCGTAGCCAAGTTGAATATCCTTACCGGCCTTATGACACCGTCTTTTATGGCCTTGCTTTCGAACTATAATTTATAACAATCAAAATCACACAATGAGTCCAAATTATGAAATCAACTTATTTTCATGGTGCAATCAATCATTCCAACTAAAAATTGATTGTGGCCCAAGAGGCATAATCGCTTTGTGCAAGCCAAGGTCATTTTATAAATCTGTGTTGCGGGAGCTCTTGGATTATTGTGGTGTCGGACAATTCCTTTTTGGCAGTTGGTTTTGTTGAATGCTTCAAAAACTTTGAGCAATCACATGGTTGTACGAGTTTAGCATTCAGAAATGACTTTTTTACGTTTTGCTAATGATACGGCCGTAAAATGTCCGGTTTTTTAGAAAAGTTTTTAACAGTTGCTAAGAATTGTGGCTCACTGGCAAAAATCGAAAGAGGATTGTCTCTTTTTTGCCTTGAATCCACCTCGAAAATTGTTATATCTCATCAGAACAAAATTTTTACAAGTTTATTTTATGCGAGCGTACAAGAAAATACTTTAAAATGCCAAATCTCTTAATGGAAGTCACATATCGCACCTGGATATAAAAGGAACCCTTTATAAGATAAACATGAATTTATATGCATTTAAAGTGGAGTTTCCCTTTTGAACTATCATCCATACTAGTATTACTTTTTATTTGAAGATTCATAAGGAATTATTCGTTGGAGCTCCTTTTTAATTTCATTAAAGCATGAGATCTGCTTGTTTCATTTGCTCCGAAGACTTTGTGGGACCGCTTTAACTGTACCAGAGCGCGAAATGGTGTAAATGAGCGCAACTAAATTGATTAATACTGCTGAAATGCGCTTGAAAGGCAACCCAAAGCCTGTGCACAAAGTTTGCCCACAACCAGCGGCGAGGCGGCAGCGCATAAAAACGCGAAATGCGAAACAACTCGCATCGCATGGGGCTTGCTAAAAAATGCATGTTGAACAAGAGTGCACTTGTCAGGAGTGCGTGACTGGGGGATACCCTCGAGTTTCCAAATTCATTTTAAACATGCCTTTACAAAACACACAAGGACGTACTATACGAATCAAGCTTTTGAATAAAATCTGTGTTTTCATATGATATAAAGAGAGTGCAAGGATATACTTTAAGCTTTTTGTTTTTTTTTTCACATTTGATGGCATCCAAAAAGAAAAATATTTTTGTTTTGGGAATACGACGACAGCTCGTAATGTTTCAAAGTGATGCTTAAAAACCTTGTTTCAAACATCAATACTTTGGAAATGGGAGAAAAAATCGAAAAATATCATAAGGATATACGAACACAGATTCTGTTGTAACACACTCTCGCACAAAACCATTAAGCCTTTTTTTTAGCCATTTTCAAAGGATACAGGGTAAAAAATGCAGAAAAGCAAGCCGATTTAATGGTGACTGGTCGCCTCCCTTGCGCTCGTAGACACTTACAGGGGCACACCCAAGTTTTTTTGCACGATGCGCAAATGTTGGGTGCAGGCATTGCAAATGTCGGTTTTCTGGGTGCCAGAGAAACACTTTAAATCTTCAAATCGAGATCTGACAGGCTCTGGACAGCTAACTTGGTTGGGGCTTGTCTATCGTCCTTCATCCGCCTTGTTAGTCTCTTTCAGCTTTGACCTTTTGCAGGATGTCGCCGGCACACTTTCGACATGTTTTTGTGTGAAATGCTTTATGCCCAGTTTACAGCTGATGATTCATTTGAGTGTGCTTAAAGTACATATGCACGTATGTACATAGTATATCGGTCAGCACTTGAATGTTGTTGTTGTCGTGGTTGGATAGCCAGAATTTGTACATTGTTTAGTGTTGAGTGGTGGCCTGGATTGTAGGTATCTGGTGTCTGGGCATCGGCCTCCGTCAGTTTGCCTTTGGATTAGCTCTCACCTCGTTTCCTTTAAGTGGCCGTAAGGGGTTGATGGCATAACAGCAATCAAAGCCATGTTGACGTCCAATTTAGCCGCTCTTGATTTGTGTCGTCGGTTTTTTCGACTTAGGCTACTTGTCCGAAGTCGTGGCCGCCTTTCGGTTTTGGTGCCTACGCCTGTCAGTTACGCAACCCCTTTGTAGCATGTTTTTGCAGCTTTTTCCCTGTTTTTCCAGAGTATGGTTTTTCTACCTAAGCAGCACAACCTTGAAATGCTTACACGTGATTTATGGCGCGGAATTTTCGTCTACGTGGCCATTACGACAACGCTAGTAACTCAAGTTCAGCTTTGTGACACGACTTTTTCCCGTGGACGTATAAGCAACTAGCAACTGTTTTTAAAAAATTTAAATCTACGTACGACTGCATGTCTATAGTTGTATTGTATTGATATTTAAAAAAATGCCAGAAATCAATCAAATGAGGAGTCAAAAGTTTGAATGAATGGGTCCCGCCCATATGCTATCCAATTTTTATTTGAGGCTACAGCCTATGATCTTAGCTTCTGCACCCTTCTAACTCATTGTTGTGGTTTCTAAGCATTGCTATGCCTATATGTAATATGTTTTATATTAACTTAAATCAGGAGCAGCAGGAGGAACATAGGAGTATGTTATATAAATATCGCGCGATCCACAATCTCAGCGTCAGTTGGCGTAGTAAAGTAGAAAGGTTTGTCCTGGAGAGTGGCTTTAACGGCAATTAAACACCAACACCAACACCTCGAGTCGGAGTCATTTCTATGCACAATGAAATTGTTCGAAGAATCTTCCAAATCAGATAAGATTGAATTTAACCATATTTCTGAAAATGCGATTCGAAAGAAGTCCTAGCCATTTTTCGTGGCAGTAACAGTATGTGAAATATAGGTGTGTAGAAATTAAATTTAGTTATTGACAGAAGATTTGTTAGCAAATTTGATTTGAGGACAAAACAGGAGTTGGTGGGGCTAAAGAGACATCATGATTGCTTTTACAATCTGAGCTAGATTGCGCGCAGGTATACCTTTGGGGCGACAAGTTGCGGTGCTGAAGCAGGATCGCTGACTGGGACAGGTTCTAATATAGGGTCTACTGGGGATACCAAATGAAGAGGGCAAATGCAAAAATTGTGAAAACCGGCGATTGGATGGAGACTTAATTTATATTTGCTAAGCAACTCGAAGGATTCAAAGTTGCTTGAGAGCTGCTTAGCCAAATTAGTAAGTTTTCAAAATTGATTACTCACAAAATTATACATTCTGGAGATCTTAAAAAAGCATGAACATTTCTTAAGTGTCAAAAAAATATGAAATATTTATTAACTCAAAAGAATACATTAGGTTTCCTTTCAGAAAACAAAATAATACATTATGGCAGAAAAGAAAACTCATTCTGAATTATTTTGGACCACAGTATTTGTGTTAATAGTGTGCATGGCAACGATTTCAATATTTTCCGGATACCATCATTCCTCGGGAAAGTTAAGGTCAATGCTGATTTCCGTGATTGCGGTGCTTATGTTTCACTACCTATTCGGTGATCCAATCAGGTTTGCATTACTCTCACTTGAGGCCTCCATTTGGCCACCGGGTCAGCGCAAGTTCGCAACGGAAAAGGAAGCCACTCATCACAATCGCCTAGATTATTTGACGTTGCGATTGCAAAGCCTACGTGCTCACCTCTATATAATGGAAAGACATCGTGACGAGAAACTGAATTGCAAGTATAAGCAAATAGCACATGATCTGTGGCTTCATGGAAGCTACTTTGTTTTTGTTGTGTGCTTAGTATTTGTAGCCTGTGATGAACATACGTTTTATACTAAAAATAACATAGAGCGGCTCTTCACTGATAATCATTCTGTTTACTACGGTTTGAATGAAGTTTACGGTATAAGCGATGTGTATAAATTCATTAATAGCTCGCTGATAAATGCATTTTATCCTGAAATTAACCATACTGGTGTATCGGTATGGGTCCACGGCAAGCAAACAATCCTACTTGGAGCTGTGCGGCTACGCCAATTGCGACTGACCGAGCAACATTATGGTGTTTATGAACCGGCCTTCTCAGAGCAATCCTATATGCCTGAATGGAAACTACCATACCTTGACTTGCCCTATTCTAATATTTATTGGCGCATCTACGAGCCATGGGTTCACAGAAATCCGAACGTTCGTGAGCACCTATGGCTGAACTTTCAGCATGTAGGCTATTTTCGTAACTACCCCGAACTGAGCGGATATGTGGTATTATTTGCTCGGAGTCGACAGAATAGTCTCAAAATACTGGAATACCTTCAGAACAACAAATGGCTCAATTACAACACCTCCGCGGTATTTCTGGATTTTTTACTGTACAATACTGATGCAAGCATATTGAATGTATGCACCTTGCGTATAGAGCAGACTCCCTTTGGAAGCACGATCCCTAATGTGAAAGTTGAGAGCGTGAGACTGCTTGAAAATAACCAGCTATCAGATGTGGCAATAGTCTTGATTATTGTTTACATCATTGTGTTTATACAGTTTTTTAAAGCATTAACGGTGAAGTTGTGGTTAGATCCAAGCGAAATTCGAAGCGTGTGGAATACAATAGACGTGGCAATATTTCTGCTTAACGTCATTTTGTTAACTTTGATTATCTTACGTAAAGAGAAAGTTGCATCGATTCTTAAACATATTGAAGGCGCCAGTAAAATGGAGTTTGTTGAGTTAAGACATGCAGCTCGTTTGCACATGCTCATCAGAATGATTATTGGCTTTCTTATCTGTATTACAACGTTGCGTTTGTGGAAGGTGCTTCAATTCTCCAGTGTCTTTCAACTTTTTACCTTTACACTGCACCTGGCATGGCCAGCAGTGGCGAGTGTTGCCTTGGTCATATTCGTATTTATTTTGGGCTTTGGGGTGGCAGTTTCTACAATAAATGGCAACAACAGTTTTAACTTTTATCGGCTTAGCAAGAGTGTCGTATCTTGCATGTGCTTCGCATGTGGATTTACTTTGGGTGTTAATCGAGACGATCTTTTTCATGGAGGCAAGCTTTTCGGTATTATCATTTTTACAACCTTGGCATTCGTTATTTCAGTGATGTTGATAAATGTTTTCGTATCTCTCATCAACGACTATTTTTCCACTGCAAAGGACCAGAGGGATACACGATCTGTACGTCGCATTAGCATTTTCCAATTTATGTATGCTGAGTGTATTCCTTATGTTATGTGGTGGCAAAAGTTTCGTTTTTTTCGTAAATATTATCACCGTAACAACAAAACCGTTTCTGAAAACATTAGACGGGATTTGGAATTAATTGGGAAATACAGGAAAAATGCGGAGAGTGACAACACATTTGTTGTCAAGAAAAAAATAACTCAGTTTGATTTGACTTTGGAACTGGAGCAATTTAGGCGGAAACAGGAACGGATTTATACAATTGGAGCTATAATCCATACTCAAATTGATATACTCAACATAATTTCGAATGCGAATGAAAATGAATAAATCAATTTAAAAATAATGTGTTACTACAAACATTATGGGACTTATATTCACTTTTACATAACCACTTCCAGTCGAATGCGCGACTAGGAAATTAAAGCTCGGTATTCCGTAATCAGTGATGCTATTAGCATTTAATTCTTATATCCTAATATATTAAATAATTAGGCTGGCACTCATTTTGTAGACCACTAAATAAATCAATAAATAATTGCTTTGGGTGTATGCTCATTTGCAAAGATCCTTATAAATGTTTTATTCAGATAATTTTTGGGAGGAAAATACAGATGAACAGATTTAAGCTAGGTCTTTCAGCAATTTTGGAAATAGCAACCACAAGTGTTGAAAATGATGTCAAAATTTGTAAATTTTAGATATTTAGATATCTTCAAATAACTTTAAATAGTATGAATTTTAAATTTAAAAGGGCCCGATATGAATAATAAAGTTATCTAAAATTTAAAGCAAAAAACTTGCCACTGGAAGAACCAGTATGAAACTTTTTTGTTTACCATCCGTCAACGATTTGCTAGGTGACGTTTCTCGTTCAAATTCATTACCAAAGAACTTTACGAAAATCATTTAAAACCTGTTTCAAACATCCTCGGTGGAAAATGAGATTCGATGATATTTTGGGAGGAGTTTTGAGTTGTAATCGATTTGCTTCAAATTTATTTTAAAAGCCTTACATAAGTACTTAATGAATACGTGTTTCTGTGAAAAGTTTGCGCAAAATTTACAACTATTTTGCTTATTATCTGTATAAAACTCATTTTCATGGATCATTTGTACAATTTATTTGTGCCATGGAAAATGCGAGTCAAAGGTTTAATGAACATATGTGAACTTTTTGCCTTCAAGCTTCTTACCACAAGACACGGGGAGATGATGATTTCTATAAAATCAAAGAAACTTTATATATATACTATTCTAGAAGCTACATGCCAAGTTTGGTGACTCTAGATCTTATTATTTACCAAAATTGCTTAAGCACGGGATTTTGATATCGATTTTTGTCGATTACTTTGAAACGGGGCAAGATATCGATTATCGGAAACAATCTCCCACAGCTAAAATTTTTCTAGCTCTTATAGGTTCTGAAATCCTTGCGATCATACAAACGGACAGACCGACAGACGGACAGATGATGCCTTTTGATGGTGATCAAAAATATATATACTTTATGGGGTCGGAGATGCTTCCTTCTGCCTGTTACATACGTTTGCACAAGTACATTATACAAGTAAGAGGCTTTAGTCGGTAGCTATCGCCTAGGGGATACCCTGAATCCTCTGTTACCAACACCAAATACAGCTCGAGCTGTGCGCTCGTTTGCTTCAGCAGTAATAAAAATAAATTAAAAAAATAATAATAATTAGGAAGACACTCGTTTTCGTCGATCATTATTTAATAAACAAATTATAGCCATTTGGTTCGTAGCAAGTTATAAGTATACCTTTCAATGAATCATCGAATCGAAACATTGAATTTTTGTTTTCTCATTTTATTATAAACAAGTTCACAAAACAAATTTACCCACTTTGCCCATTTCAATGAGTTATCAATATAATAAGTTTATTTGCTTTCAAAATCTTCGGCGAAAAATGAACTGTAGCCTACAAATCCTGGGCTTAGGTTGCACTTTGCGATTGAATTTCAAGAAAATTAGAAAGGGCTTTAGAACATTTATATAATACCTATCCGAGTATCAGGTAATTAAGAAAAAATTCAAAAATTACGGTTGCAAAGTAGCTAGCGATTGCAATCTCAAAAAATTCAGAGACCGATAATAATATGACCTGTTTTTCAAATTCAAAATAGTTGATAAATGTAGTGTTTCTGAAGTAACAGAAAACCATGGTTATTGTGAGAATCGTTTTGCATAACCAAATGCAGGTACGCTCGTAAATGTTGCAGGATTCATCGGTAAAACGCCAGGGTCCCAAAATGGGCTGCATCATAAACCAGTTGATAAAATAGAACTTACAATAATATCGAAATCTGTGTATAAACTGGCGGCAACATCCGGTGGGGACCTTTACCTTATGTAATCGATTTAAAGTCGCTAATTTTTCTGTCGGTAAGCAGGAGACCCGAATCTTCTGAGCTCTTCGTATCCAGCTACGTATAAGAAATGTATAGCTCAGATCGTGTCGCAGATCATCAACTTGTACGGAACGACAGTACCAGGATGGATACCTGCCGGACACATCATGACTAATTGTCAGTCTACAGGGTAATTGCATTTTCTCGTCGCTGAGACGTATCATGCACGAAGTGTTTAATTTCAGATGCGGATTTATTGGATTCTGATATATAACCACCTTGTAGCGTCCCAGTATCGATGTAAACACCAGCTTAATATTGGCTGTAGTTGAACCTATTATGTATCCGCCCGTACGCAAGTGTACAATGATATTTTCCGTGCGTGGTGGCACCTCATCGCGATTCGATTTGATGACACGTATTAAATTCTTTTTTTTATGACGCAAACGTAGCATGCCTAATATTAAAAGGAACACAGTGCCTAGAGCCAGTAAACAGTTAACTAGCAAGCAGCCTAAACTAAAGGGCGATTGGTAGGCATAGCTGTGTATTTTTTTTATGGGAAATGGCTTGATCTCATAACTCTTGGCGGAAAACACCGACAAGTGCTCAACGTTGCATCGCGAGTAAGGGGGATCCTGTGCCAAGTTTTGCGGATAGCATCCATGTTTCATCCAGTTCGGATATTTGTTACTTATATCCCATACACTGCATTCTTCTGCGCTGATGCGAAACGTGTAGTGAGCGGGTGCAGTATCAAAGGAGTTTGCCTTATATACCGCTATATAAGCGATGCCCTCTTCTGTACATCGATTCTTTAAAATAATTGTCCTGCTGTAACAGTCTTTCGATACAATGCAGCTTTTATCATGCAGATTGAGCAGGGTAGGCTCTACATTCATGCTAATTAGAACCCGGAGACTTGCTGAGGTATTCACAAAATGCACCAGCATGTTTACCTGGCCATCCAACTTTAGTCTATAGATAATCATATTATTATGTATCACATCGGACTGCTCGTAAAGGAAACCCGTGTAGCCTTTGACATTGTGGAGTCCCAATTGATACAAGAGACTCGATTGACTTTTAAACTTGTAAGGTGCATTACGGCCAAGAATATCGACAGCCAAAACGGCGGTAGTTGGAGGAAAACGTCCTGGTGCCCACCAAAATATATCGGACTGGAAGCACCACGCATGTATTAGCAGATCGTTCGTCCCAAGCTTTTGCCGGTGAGCTTCGACTGTTTGAAGAGGTATTTTTAGAATGCAGGATGTGCAGTTAGATGTATATACGATAGGGGCATAAGAATTATGCATCTCCACTATGTAACTGACGTTATTTGAGACATAACTGAATGGCTCCTCTGGTTGAATATGTCGAGTGAATTCTTCGCCAATTGTATGCCATATTTTAAAGACCAAGCTAACAACGTCTGAATAACATTTTATGTGTGACAAAACCATTTTATCGAAAGGGGGCCAATCGACAGAATCTTCATTATACGGATTATCGAGAATCAATTTTTGACTTGCTAGCTCCGTATTCTTTACCATACAATATGTAACAATATTGGTTATTAGCATGCCCATGTCGCGACAGATCGCTTCTGACATGTCTAGTATTTCGGTATCTTTTCTGACAAAATCAAAAGTGAATATCACTCTTTCTAAAATATATGACATGGCGTTGGCTTCATGGCAATTTACCAGTCCCACAAATGTAATACATTTATAAGCAATTTCAAGGGTATTTACCATTTCGAAGACCGAAAGAGTTCTATCCATTGTTATGGACCGGAAGTTATCTAACACATCATTTATCTTTTCCGGACTTGCTAATAATTTTTGCAGAAAACAGAATGCCTGCTGCCTGCGGCCATCCACTAGCATCCTAGTCAGGCTATAATTGTCAAGAGTTTCAGATCCTGTAAGGTTCATGGGCTCAATCGCAAAAGAGATATTTATAAATGTGCAGAGAAATTGAAAGCCGCATATGCGAACAATTAATGGAGTGTTGCCATTTAGGTAAAGGAAAGTTTCTCCCGAATTGGTGTTATCTTCATAGATGTTTCCCGTTCTATAGGTATATAGGAGCGGTTCCTGAATCATCGAAACAAAATTTTGGCAACGAATATGGAACTTTGTAACACATTCCTGTCCATTTTGTGGCTCAAGTACACAGTTGCCGCTTTTTAAAGGCTGTAATTGTTGCAATCTCAGTTCGGTGGTACCCTTTCCGGCCTGGTCTGCGACATTGAGTGTTACAATCAGTTCACCTACCAAATCCTTTGCCAGTTTCATCACAAATCGCTGTTTGTTCTGCTTCATATCAATCCCGTTCAGTCTCCATGTATAGGTTATAGGCATCTTGCAAGCGGGACATAAAGCTTGCAGGTGCAGCACATGGTCGGTTGCGTACAGATACCTTTGGCAGTTTCTGATGCACTCTATATTTACACTGAGTGGGTCTCTATCGCCTACTACAACGATAGCTTGGCTAAAATGACTGGTGCGGGCGCTTACTAGTTTGTTAGCGACTCTTAGAGTAATTATGTTTTTTTCACCACTTTTGAGAATTTTGGACGGTATATTTAGCTTAGGATCTGCAACGGCGTCAACGAAAAGGTAGTATTAAAAAATATTAAATGGTCGGCTGCGCTTAAGATGCATACTCACTGGAATTCTCGAAGGTTAGGTATTGCTCATTACTTCCATTCTCTGCGCTTAATATCCAAGTATACGTTAGTTGTTGAGGAGCGCGCACATTTCGTGCGGGCTCACGACTTTTAGAGCCATCAAGAAGCAACCATTTACTATTATTATTTATTTCTCTGTAGTGACCGCCGGCTATATTAGCAACCACATTACGTGCTGTCACATTTATGTAACACTGGGGAGGTACAATAATTAGAATCAACTTCTGCTTCTCGTAGACATGACATACTCTTACGAATACCCATGGACCTTTGATCTCCTTAAGCCCAAGCTTCACCGAAAGTAAAAGATTAGGGTACAAACTTAATAGAGTATCGTACCACAATGTATAGCGTGGTATCTTAAGCAACAGTTGCTCCCCGACACGTGTGGTAAAATAATAAACTGTAATGAAAGTTTTGAAGTTGTAGTTGG